TAATTTTAGAAAACGTACAAAATGTACGTTTTACAAAATCATATCCAGTTGCTTGAGTAACTGTTTTTTGGCATATCGTATTACCTGGATGTCTAACCTTCATCGACATACAAAGGAATCTTACCTTAAGAATGCCTTCCTGACAAGGAAGTGTTTGAAGAAGGGGATACACGTTAGGGCCGACCACCACACGGACTCCTGGTTCCAGTCTGCGATACTCATGGTGTCGTTGGGCTCGTTTGGACGAACGTGCAGCGCCCCAAAGCGTGAGAACACGTAGTGCTCTTTGTTGATCTGAAGTTAGACACTCAGTCAGTCACATTTTTTAACAAGGTAATCAGAGATGGCAGACTTGACCCCCTTACCCATACTGCTTCCATAACACAAGAGCTATGTACCATGTAAACTTTATTACACTAGTTTGTTCAGATCACAAGATATGAAAACCAGAAATTCCACTGCAGTACCTAGAGCTGTGTACCTAAACAAATTTTAGGTACAGGTACAGGTACAGGTACACAGGTTTAGGTACAGGTCCGGACCTGAACCTGTACCTGAACAATTCGAGAAATGTATATGCTCTTCTGAACTCCTGTAATAACAAGAAAAACATTGATATAGGTTTAATTTTTGTTTATGGAGAATATTCAGATAAAATATAGGTAAAAGTAAACTTTAAGATGTTTTTGTTTTCATGAACACACTGTCCTTACACAGTGACCCATTGTTAACCAGCTATTTACACATTTGAGGTCACAAATAGGCATAAAATTGGTGTGAAATTGTTTAGGTACAGTACCGGTACTGAGGGATTAGGTATTTTGGACCTGTACCTAATCAATTTTTCCGGTACAGTATCGGTACTGCGTACCGGTACACAGCTCTAGCAGTACCATAACAAGCCACCAGGGGGCCCAAAATCTAATCAGTTTGAAGTCTCATCAAGACCTACCCACCTACCAAGTTTCATAACAATTCATTTACAGCTTCTTGGGTTATTGTGCTAAACCACATATATACACACATACCTGTGCTACCAAAAAACATAGCCTTCTCTACAAAGATAACAAGCAGTTGACTTGTATGTACCTTTTGTTTTGGCACCACGACCAGGTCGTACGGTCTGTAGTGCCTGTTGGGTGTCAGGTTCAGGTACACAAACTCCACCTTCCCCAGGTGTTTCCCCTTCACAAACATCTCCGCAGCCTCACGGCCAGTCAGCGGCGGGGCTTCACTGATAGACTGAGAAACAAGTCATGGTAAACATAGGTTGAGTTGAGCTCTAAGCCCTTTATGGAGCTAATCTTCCAGGGTTTGTCAAACAATACATAAACATGCAGATTTAGATTTACATACAAGTGCAGACTTGTCCTGCTGGCATTTTTTTGACAATATTTTCTAATAAAACAAAACGTTCATATACAGAGGTACCGTGGCAAACTCAACTTCAGCACCAAGGACAAGACTACCGTGAACTGTATGGATTGTGATTTGTATTTCGTTCAAAATTGTAACAATTATACACAGAAAGTCCCAAATTTTCTTGTCATGATGTTTCCAAAGGATATTTTGAAGGCATTGATAGTAACATTTTAACTTCTGTTTTGCCATCACTAATGTTCAAATTAACAATCACTCACCTCAGCTTCTTCACTGATGGACACATCTTCATCAAGTTTGGACTCAATAATGCTGTAGATATGTGAAAGAAAACATATATTATTCACATGGAAAACATATGCTCAATGGCCTGCACCAGCACTATGGCAATTGGTTCTGTGGTGTTGGATTACATCATGTAGCAAGTGGCATTGTTGGCTACCATATATAAGCAGAGCTGTAGATTGTTAGGCCAAGCCATGGGAAGGTTAACATCATGTACTTGCTTTGCAAATGTTACCTTTCAATTTTGAGTTGAATTCAAAAGAATTATGACATTAATACTGGTTCAGCATGAAACCTTGAAAGACTGAAATACTTTACCTTGTTAAGCTTTGTGACATTGTTTCTGGAGGAGCTGGCTTCAGCTGAAAATAAAATAAAAACATGCATTATATCAAAACTTTTTTCTGAAATAGCAATCATTTGTTTACTCCTTGGGCATATGGCAAATGTCTCAGTCAGCATTTCGAATGTAAGAACCCTTACCTCATCGTGTAGATCTAAACTCATTGCTGTAGCAGTGATTCCCATACTGGTGCCCCAGACAGACTCACCTGGACAAATAAACAAAAATTTGTTTACCTATCCAACTTAACCTAGGCTAGGTACTACTAACCAAGGCTACTACTACTCATTTGAGAAAAGCAGTATAAAGTGTCTTTCCAAGGGCACAACATTGGGGTGGATTGGAACCCTGGACCTATGGGTTCTGGGCCAAACACCTATTAGAACCATTACCACAGTAGTGTAAACCATTGACTCACGTGATGAAGCCTCCAGCACCACAGCAGGAATGGCTGCTCGTATGTCCCCCACTGACAGGGGTTTGGGCCTGAAATACCTTGTCTCATCATCCTGGAAATAAAAATCCAAGGTACAGGATCATGTATCATGTATACCTCAATGATAATACACATGTACTTGAAATCTTTCCCAGATATGTCAATTTGATTGGAAAAACCTTGTGTGAAAGTCACAGTCAACAACTTCAAACCTTCATTTGTCTTGACAGAAGGAATTTTGCTGTTCAAAGAAATTCAAAGATGTTGTCAATAATTGTTTTTGTGGCTATTAATGATACAGCTAAGAATGAGACAGTCAGAAATGAAGAGAACAGAAAATAACAACTTAGAGTTGGATGAAACTCTGTACACTTGTACATGTATATCCTTAGGATGTATTTTGCAAAGCCAGATGCACTGATCTATTTACGATACAACAGCCTTTACAAAAGAACTTACAGGTCTCTCTAGAACATAAGGGTTGGACCCATCTGGCAACTGTAGTCCTGTGGAGGAAGACACTGAGGTTCTCTTGGTACTAGTAGTAGGTGTGGAGCTCAATAGTCGTGGTGGTGTGGGGGTACGGTAGTTCCGGGGGTTGCCACCAGTGTGTTGTATTCTCTCCATGTCCTGAAATATTGCAACAGTATGATATACTTAAATACTTATACAAGAAATTGAAATAGAAAAATATTAGTCTTAAAAGAACAGAAAGTAGAAAAATCTGGAGCAATATTAATAAATTGTAGTGAAGTAATCCTTTGGCAAATGTATGAACACTGACCTTTGGGAAGACTTTGTTCAAAGCTGGTACAATGTTGAGATCAAACAGCCTCTCTTGGTTAGTTTGTACATGGTTGTACACACGTTCCAGGTAGTGGGTGATCTATGGGAGGTAAGGAGAAGCAAAGTCAACACAAATCACTATAACTAAAAGTATATTTTTTGCCTGGTTTCAAACCGGCTGCCATGTTCACTGTGACATCATAAGTGGGATAGCTAATAGGAATCAAGAGCTGGCCTGAGCTGGAAGAATGATTCTTTATGGTTCGCTGTTTACCAACAAAAGGGTGTAAGTGTTCATTGATCTGTTTGCATAGACTATGATAAATAAATTAAGACCAGTCCTTACCTGCTGCCTCCCCTGTAGGAGTTGTGTGTGCGGCTCCAGCAGACACAGAACATCACACAGGTACAGCCAGGAGGGGCGTCTGGAGGGGGACAGACATTAGCAGGGCTCAATATACTTTTTTCTGCATTGGTAGCATTCAACTTATTCTACAACAGTCAGCATGTCTTCCTTGCACCACTCAGTTTTGTTTGCCTTAAAAATTTCAGCCCATCCAAACATCTTGCTTTGAAAATGTTCCCAGTAGTAAAATTTTGTTAACTGTTGTATTCAATAATGCTACCCACCACAACAGTCAATTATCAAGAGTAGGGGTCTATCATGGTGTAAGTGGATCACATCTAGCAGTCTGGTATTATTCAGCTTGAACTTGATGTACAAAACTGGTGTGTTATGACTTATCAAAGGCAGTTTGATGGTTATGTGCTATAAACACTTTTATTATCTCTATTTTTAATTGTTTGATTATTATTATGTTAATTTTGCCCCACACTGTACTTAATGTGATTTATGTCTATAATTTCCTTTGTAACTTGTTTTGTTGGCCTACCTTGGAAATCAGTTGTCCTAAACTGAAGGTACCACCCAACTATTTTAACATCAATAAACAAACAAATAAAAAAAAACAATACGAAAATCTCCTCACCTGTCGTTCTGTAGTGTTGAGATGAAAGCTGACACCACCTGCTGCACCAGCTGCACCACCAGCTCCTCACCTGGCTTGTCACCGTTGTTCACCTGTTCCTGCAGCCGTCTTCTCACCTGGACGGCCCAGGTGTCTGACGCCGACTCCAGGTGAACTGAGGATCCTGTAAGAACAAGTCACACGCATTTGTCAGAGGCTTGGTAGAGGCTCTGATCTAGTAGAATCAGCAATTGTACCGGTAGAGATCCCAAACAGAGTTTCTGTCAAGAAACTCTGATCAGAATCTGGTACACGTATACCATTAAAGATGGTAAGGTTTTATGGCAAGCACAGGCTTTCAAATGATATCAGTATCAGTAGCTACCTATAACGTGTATGATTGAATGTTTAACTTTTAAGAAAACTTGGACAGTCATAAGTTATATCTATAGACCTAATCCTCTCTGCCAATTCTACCTGCAGAGATCCTGATCTGAGTTTGTTGGATAACTACTCCTTGTGCAAAGACACACAAACCTACAGCTCAGCAACCCAAAACAATACTTCCATACCTGGAAGCTATTACTGAGAATATATAAAAGGTTTATACTGCATACTGACCTTTCCCTGACCCGGAGACCAGTCTGCCTGTGTTGATAGCAGGGAGTTTGTGAACAGTCGGCATGATGGGCTCATCATGGATGGACGCCATCTTGTTTGTTCTACAGCCGTGAACTGTTGTCTGGTTCAGACAGCCAACTCACGTGGTTCCCGCGAACTGACAATTCTGTTTTGTTGGTCTGTCATCTGTGTATTGAAAGATATGAAATTTTGCTTCATGTTTGTTGTTTCCATATTTGTGACACAGATATTATCGTTTTTCTTTCCAAAACATATGCATGCGGTGTTTGTAAAATATACATTCGTTTTGGAATTGTATTAATTATATAAGTGCAGGCTTATTTCATGCCCCTAACTTTTCGTTCTAAAGCTGTGACAACATTGTCATTTAAGACAGTTGAAAAACAGTGACCTCAGGAAAGTAACAAACAGTACTGGTAAAATAAGTCTTATAATGCAAAAGTCATAACAATGTAACCTTACATTACTACTTTTTATGGTATCGGTTAGCGGTTCATAATCTTTCCCTAAAGACCTGTGTATAAAATATCCTTATCAATAATCCAGAAACTATATATTTCGGTGAAATTTAGCGTGAAAACCGGTAAAGAGATTGTGGTTGTTGTCTGTGCGGTTATTAGGTGTCTGGCGGTTCATTCAAAACAATCATGAAAACTTTTAGTCCGCCCATTCCAGCTTAGCAACGGTTTACCAGGTGTTTCCAACGCATTTTCGTTCCATATATAGCCTCAACACCTTCTCAAACCTTTACCACACGATTGTCACACTCATACGTTGCTATAAAAATCCAATAATTACCTTAGCTATGCCTTCAACGAACTTCGAAACGTGCAAAACAGCTGGATATCCTGAACTTCGATGTTGAAATTGTTGCTAGGCCGCCATTTATATCCCACAATGCACTTGTTGGGACAACATCTGACCTCTAACCCCAAAACAACTTTTTCAAATCAATCAAAATCTTGATAATCAATAGTCAAATTTTTAACAAACAAATCTATTTCACATAATTTACGTCAAATAGATGAATTTCTGCCTTTAATAATCGATAAGAGAGTAAACAGATGTGACCTTTAAACTTTCAGTCACGTGACTGAGTCACGAGGCGAGGTCAGCGGCAGGTGATCAGCTGGTCATAGGACCATCACCTGGTGGTATATAACTGCACGTTGTCAACAGGGTTTAGCGTTGTTCTAACCCACAGGTGAGCTATGATAGTTATGATATGATAGCCTTATCTGTGAAGTTGTTTGGTGCATTTTGCCGCGTTGTTTTAGATCGTCCAGTGCGTGTGTGTCCAACTTGTAATGCGTAACACGGAAGTACATTTTATGGTTCCCATGTTTCTTAGTACAGTATGGGTAAGAGTGCTTGTGCTGCATTGTCAGCATTATCATGTTTATCAGTTTTTCACAAATTCGTACCCCATGGGAGTGAAGTGTTGTTTTGTAATAACTTTTATAGATTGTGCGTGTGTTTGCCATTATAATTTATGTAAACTAATTTCCGAATCAGTTTTTGGGCCTTTCAATTTCAAGTTTACACTCCAAATCCTGTTTGCAAAAGATGATTCATTGGTCCCAACCAGTTCTCCACACATTTGGGTGATATTTGATCCAAATCGATGTTCACGGTTGATGCCTGCTAGTACCTGATCGACAAGGCGGTGGCAGGTAGACATCAGAAATACCTGCACAGCCCCCATTTCACCTTCACTATTAAACCTGGATATGTATGTGGTATTTCCAGCCCTAACCTACGTCACACTCTCTAAAGATCTAGATCTGATCTTCCTCATTTCGAGGCCCCAGGCTTTACAAATTAACCACTTAAATGAATAACAAACATACCCTTGAAAGGTCAACTTCTGCCTTTCTGATGATATCATGATCAACCTTAAGGCTCATAACTATAACTTTGCTGATATAACTAATCTGATGGTTTATTTCTTTACAGCCATGAGGTCACTCATAGTGTTCCTGTGCAGCGTAGCCCTCTGCAGTACTGTGCCTTTTCACAAGGGGGCACACCAATGCCGTGATAACTGCCAACCCGAGGAGACTTGTTGTAATGCCAACAGTACCATGACACACGGCTGCTGTCCTATTCCACAGGTAACACTACATTTATGCAAAAAAAAAAAACAGTTACACAAGCAACTGGATATGATTTTGGAAATGGTCAGATGTTTCAGGTAGCGTCCACTATCTGTCAGTGACACTGATGAGATCTCAAGATCAACAGGTTTATAACCACCGCAAGATTAACAGATTTATTACCACAAACTATTAATTATTGATATCTCTATAGAGACTACTTCAGTAATAGAGGCATCAAACAATATTGTCACAATACACAGGACAGGTGGGTACCATAGACAGGTTTCTTAATGCTAGTCAAGATAGAAAAAATCTAAGGAACCACCAAAAATTAGCCACAACATCAGATGTTTCTTATACAGGGGTGGCCACAACTTGAGCATTCAGAGTACAGAGTACAAGTTTGACTGTGTAAAAGAGACCTTATTCCATGATATCCAGTGTCATGTAAATGATACCCTGTTCCATGATGTCCCCAGGCTACCTGCTGCAGTGACGGCCTCCATTGCTGTCCCAGCGGCTTCAAATGTGACCTTACCCAGAATGCCTGCGTGCAGGGTAACTTGGCTCTTCCCTGGTCCCCCAAAATGGAGGTCAGGCTCGGTGCCACCATCACGTGTCCGGGCGGAACGCACGACTGTCCAGAGAACACCACCTGTTGTCTGACCGCCACTGGCCACTATGGGTGCTGCCCTCTTGCAAAGGTAGACAAACTGTACCTACATTTGTAAAGAGGGAGTAAAGCATCATTTGGCTTGTCTGTTTGTGTCTGTGTATATCTATGCCTGTGTATCTTTGTGTGCATGTTTGTGTGTTGTGTGTGTCTATGTCTATGTATCTCTCTATGTATGTCTGTGTTTGTTTGAGTGTGTCCATGTATCTGTATCTACAAAGTGTGTGTGTGTGTGTGTTTGTGTGTTGTATGTATGTATGTGTGTGTGTGTGTGTATGGAACTGAGCGAAACACTGTGCTTTCCTTCTAAGAAGGTAATTATAAAAAGATAAATGAATATATATTTGTATATCCAGGCTGTGTGCTGTAAAGACAACACCCACTGCTGTCCCTCCGGCTACAAGTGTGACGAGTCAGCAGGGAAGTGCCGCCAAGGTAACCAGACACTCCCCCTTCTGGAGAAGTTCAAGGCCAGGCCCAGGACAGGTTTTCTACCAGAAAAGCAGGCCAAAGTTGTGACATGTCCCGACGGCTTGTCTGCTTGTAAAGACAACACCACCTGCTGTAAGGATGACACTGGAGAGTACGGCTGCTGTCCCATACCTGAGGTGAGTTGCCTGCCTCAGTCCTTAAGCTAAGTACTGGCCCTTGCTACTGATTCCTATAAGATCAGCAATGGTGATCGTATAAAAGCGGGTCAAAAATGGCCGCTGGCCATTATGGTGTGCCACTACCGCAGTACCGTATGGTATAGCATCATCAATGATCACCATTAACAACTCAGAAAATACTGAATTAGTTCCCGTCTCATATCAGCCACATGGTAATTCGCCCCATCTTGTATCAAGCTAATGAATAGGTATGTAGGGGTGGTAAGCCTGAACAATACAGGTGACCAAAGATGATGAAGGTTTTTCCATTCCATACTTCAGGCATTATGCTGTGATGACCAGGTCCACTGCTGCCCAGCCGGCTTCACCTGCCAACCCAACAAGGCGAAGTGTTCCAAGGGAGATCTCACCATCCCGATCTTCACTAAAACACGGGCCGCCGCCCGGGTAGAGTCCATCCGGTGTGGAGATGGCAGTGCCTGTCCGAACCACCACACCTGCTGCAAGACTAAGACTGGGAAATATGGCTGCTGTCCGCTGCCAAATGTAATGGTTAAACTAATGATATGGAATTTCATTGATGATGTACATGTACAATACAGGGATCTGTCAAAGAAAAGTAAAACCTTTGACATACAAAAATTGGTGGGGGAAGATATGGAAAGATATGGCATTAGACTAAGCTTAGTCTACCAGCAAAATTTGCCCCTCAAAATGCAGGAAATAGATTTTCAGATGGTCAACCCCCTAGGATTGCTGTGCCTTCTGTGCTCCACATAATGTTATGTCACACATGACTGAGATGATGGAAAAAAATTCAAGCTGGCTAGAACACTGTTGACTGTACAGTAATCTGATCTGACAAGGAATAAACTAATTAGTTTGTCTTTACTGTCATCTCCAGGCTGTTTGCTGTAAGGATGAGATCCACTGCTGTCCCGACGGTTACACCTGTGACACCGCCGAGGGCAGGTGTATCAAGGGCGACATGACCCTCCCCTGGCTCGAGAAACGACCTTCAAAGTCCTCCAGGAAGGTCACCAAAGAGGCATGTCTTTAAGGATTGTCTTAATCACACATTGTTACACAACAGGATAGATAGCAAAGTTTTCACCACTACATGACCCTTAACATACTTAATTGCTGTGGCAACAGGTAGATTATGAAAAGTTGTGAATGAACATGGCAACCCACTTTAATTACAATTTTTTTTATGCTGTCTAAGTGTAATGTATTAACCTTTTTTTGCAAGTATTATCAACAGATTGTCTAATTTGTGTCAATTGTTTTGTTCCTCCACAGGACATGGGTGCGAAGCCCCCTCCCCATGCAGTGATCTGTCCCGACCACGTGGCCATGTGTCCTGATAACAACACCTGCTGTCTGCTGCAGGACGGCAACTATGGCTGCTGCCCAGAGCCGCATGTAGGGAGCATACCATTCAGGGTTATGGGGGGGGGGAGGAGTGGGCTAAGCCAGGACACTCTAGTCATCTTTAGATGTTTTTAGTTTTAGATCAGTAGTAGAATAATCAGTTCAGCACCAGGGACAGGGACAGTTTAGATCAGTAGGAGGATAATATATGTGAATGTAAGTTCAGCACCAGGGACAGGGACAATTTCAAGTAGGATAATCAGTGTGAATGTAAGTTCAGGGACAGGGACAATTTCAAGTAGAATAATCAGTATGAATGTAAGTTCAGGGACAGGGACAATTTCAAGTAGGATAATCAGTGTGAATGTAAGTTCAGCACCAGGGACAGGGACAATTTCAAGTAGGATAATCAGTGTGAATGTAAGTTCAGCACCAGGGACAGGGACAATTTCAAGTAGGATAATCAGTGTGAATGTAAGTTCAGCACCAGGGACAGGGACAGTTTGAAGCAGGAAAATCAGTGTCAATTTAAGTTCAGGGACAATTTCAGCCAGTTTTTGGTGTCCCCTTCCATGGATCCAAGCATTTAGATCTTGTTTATTGTGGCCACCAGTCCCTTCAGTATTCAGTATAGACAGGTTTGACTATATCATACAGATCCTTTTCTGCTTCTCTGTCAAAGTCAGTAGTATATTATGTACTTTGTGACTCCTATTTTGCAGGCTGTGTGCTGTAGCGACCGTAAGCACTGCTGCCCACAAGGCTACACCTGTGACACCTCCCAAGGGAAGTGCCTGCAGGGCTACAGGAGCATCCCGTGGATAACCAACAAGGTCGCGACCCCGGTTAACCCCATCGACTGTGATGAAGAGGGCAAGGTCAAGTGCCCGGATAAAAACACCTGCTGCAAGAAAACCACCGGAGAATGGGGTTGCTGTCCTCTAGAAAAGGTGATTTTAGGTTCTGTCAAGTAAAACCTCTTTTAGTTTCTTAAAGGGTCATTTTCTAACATTTTTGCACTAAAAATTGAAATATTATATACAAAGAAAAATTGATATATACAGAGGTTGTCACAAGTTCGAATGTATATTAATGACCAGGTGGTCCTTATGTAGAGGTGGTCACTAGTACAGATTTAACTGCATATCAATGACCAGGTGGTAGTACACGTTTGACTGTGCAAATTTATTTTACCAATACTTCTTTATACAACAGGCTCTGTGCTGTAATGACCACATCCACTGCTGTCCCCACGGTACTGTGTGTAATGAGACGTCAGGCGAGTGTCACTACCCTGACGGTACCACCCAGGCCTGGGTACAGAAAACACCACCCCTGCTAGATGTCAGGGAGGATGTTAGAGATGTGCAGTGTCCTGATGGAAAGGTACCTTTATCCACTCACTCACTCACTCACTCACTCACTCACCCACCCACTGGTTTATCGAATGTTGTTCCCCGTTTTCCAAGGGTTAGACATGCTTGCACTCTGATGCTGAGGCTTGATGGCAGCCCGCCAGTTGCCTCAATCCTGTGGGTTGACATTATGTAGGTTCAAGTGGTCAATTATCTATTAAGCCACACTAACATTTTGTAGTAGGTCTTATGTAACCAGCATTGGCCCTGTCTTTCCCTATCCTGTTCTCAGAAGAATCCTAATCTGGTTGATTATAAGCTTTAAGATTGAGCCAAGATCACCTGGGTATCCAATTGCTTTTGATTTACAGAAAGGAAAAGAACAGAGGTGGTACGGGTAGAATTTATTGAGTTGCAGAGGTGCAGATAACTCACTGCAAAAGGTATTTTAAGCCCTGGAAATGTATTTTGTTCACAATCTGTTAGATTTATTCCAATCCATGTCTGATAGCTACTCTCATGTTTGCAGTCTGCCTGTGAAGAAGACTACACCTGCTGTAAGAACAGCACAGGCTACTCCTGCTGCCCCTTCTCAAGAGCTGTCTGCTGCAACGACACTATCCACTGCTGTCCCCAACATTACACCTGTAACTCAGGTGCTCCAGGTAAGACTTGTAACACCTGTAACACTGCTGTCAGGAACATTACACCTGTAACTTAGGTGCACCAGGCAACATTGAAATATTGGCATTAAAAAAGCTGTGCATGTATAACTGTAATTTCAGATACAAGTAACATTGAAACACTAGCATATGAAAAAGCTGTGCATGCATTGTAAATTTAGATACTCTTATACACCTGTAGGTGTTGAGAAAAACAGTTGACAGTATCATTATCAAAGATTTTGAAAAAAGATTTTCATGAAATATCACTTCACCTTTATTCTCCCAGGAACCTGTGTCCACAACTTCCTGCCCACCGTGCCTATGGCCAAAAAGACTGCTCCAAAGATTGTAAAACTTGACCATAATGAGATTCAAGCTTACAGTGAGAACAATGTCAGGTGTGACACTTTCCACGAATGTCCAGCTAACAATACCTTGCTGTAAGCTAGCCTCTGGAAAGTGGGGTTGCTGTCCCTTACCCAGTGCTGTCTGCTGTAATGACCATGTTCACTGCTGTCCTGAGGGAACAACTTGTAGTGTGTCTACTGGAAAGTGTGAGAGAGGAGAAATCAGTTTTCCTTGGTTTGACAAGAAAGCAGCCAATCTTGTTGAAGAAAGCCCAAACATCAAATGTGATGCCACCCATGAGTGCAAATCTACAGACACTTGCTGTAAACTAAAGAGTGGGCAGTGGGGTTGCTGTCCCTTACCAAAGGCTGTCTGCTGTAGCGACCAAGTCCACTGCTGTCCTGAGGGAACAACATGCGACGTGTCATCTGGAAAATGCAAGAGAAAAGACATCAGCATAGCTTGGTTTGAGAAAGTGTCAGCTATAACAAAGGTAGAAGTTTCGAATGTCAGATGTGACTCCACCCATGAGTGCCCTTCCAAACACACTTGCTGTAAGCTGGCCTCTGGACAGTGGGGTTGCTGTCCCTTACCCAGTGCTGTCTGCTGTGATGACCATGTCCACTGCTGTCCTGAGGGAACAACATGCGACGTATCATCTGGAAAATGCAAGAGAAAAGACATCAGCATAGCTTGGTTTGAGAAAGTGTCAGCTATAACAAAGGTAGGAGTTTCGAATGTCAAATGTGACTCCACCCATGAGTGTCCCTCAAAAAACACTTGCTGTAAGCTGTCCTCTGGAAAGTGGGGTTGCTGTCCCTTACCCAGTGCTGTCTGCTGTGATGACCATGTTCACTGCTGTCCTGAGGGAACAACTTGTAGTGTGTCTACAGGAAAGTGTAAGAAGGGTGACATAAGTCTACCCTGGTTTGAGAAGGAGGAGGCCATTTTCGTTGAAGAAGAAAGCCCAAACATCAAATGTGACGCCACCCATGAGTGCAAATCCACAGACACCTGCTGTAAACTAAAGAATGGACAGTGGGGTTGCTGTCCCTTACCAAAGGCTGTCTGCTGTAGCGACCAAGTCCACTGCTGTCCACATGGAACAACTTGTAGTGTGTCTACTGGAAAATGCCACAAAGGTGATGTCAGCATAGTTTGGTTTGAGAAGTCACCAGCTAGGTCCATTCAAAATGATCCAAACATCATGTGTGATGAAACCCATGAGTGCCCTTCAAAACACACTTGCTGTAAGCTGGCCTCTGGACAGTGGGGTTGCTGTCCCTTACCCAGTGCTGTCTGTTGTAGTGACAAAGTTCACTGCTGTCCTGAGGGAACAACTTGCGACGTGTCATCTGGAAAATGTCACAAAGGTGATGTTAGTGTATCTTGGTTTGAGAAGTCACCAGCTAGGTCCATTCAAAATGATCCAAACATCATGTGTGATGAAACCCATGAGTGCCCTTCCAAACACACTTGCTGTAAGCTGGCCTCTGGAAAGTGGGGTTGCTGTCCCTTACCCAGTGCTGTCTGCTGTAATGATGGTGTCCACTGCTGTCCTGAGGGAACAACTTGTAGTGTGTCTACAGGAAAGTGTAAGAAGGGTGACATAAGCCTACCCTGGTTTGAGAAGGAGGAGGCCATTTTCGTTGAAGAAGAAAGCCCAAACATCAAATGTGACTCCACCCATGAGTGCAAATCCACAGACACCTGCTGTAAACTAAAGAATGGACAGTGGGGATGCTGCCCCTTACCAAAGGCTGTCTGCTGTAGCGACCAAGTCCACTGCTGTCCTCATGGAACAACTTGTAGTGTGTCCACTGGAAAGTGTGAGAGAGGAGAAATCAGTTTTCCTTGGTTTGACAAGAAAGCAGCCATTGTCGTTGAAGAAAGCCCAAACATCAAATGTGACGCCACCCATGAGTGCAAATCCACAGACACTTGCTGTAAACTAAAGAATGGACAGTGGGGATGCTGTCCCTTACCAAAGGCTGTCTGCTGTAGCGACCAAGTGCACTGCTGTCCTGAGGGAACAACTTGTAGTGTGTCTACTGGAAAATGCCACAAAGGTGATGTTAGCATAGCCTGGTTTGAGAAAGTATCAGCTATAACAAGGGAAGAAGTTTCAAATGTCAGATGTGATGATATGCACCAGTGTCCCTCCAAACACACTTGCTGTAAGCTGGCCTCTGGACAGTGGGGTTGCTGTCCCTTACCCAGTGCTGTCTGCTGTGATAACCATGTCCACTGCTGTCCTGAGGGAACAACATGTGACGTGTCATCTGGAAAATGTCACAAAGGTGATGTTAGCATAGCTTGGTTTGAGAAAGTGTCAGCTATAACAAAGGTAGAAGTTTCGAATGTCAAATGTGACTCCACCCACGAGTGTCCCTCAAAAAACACTTGCTGTAAGCTGTCCTCTGGAAAGTGGGGATGCTGTCCCTTACCCAGTGCTGTCTGCTGTGATGACGGTGTCCACTGCTGTCCTGAGGGAACAACTTGTAGTGTGTCTACAGGAAAGTGTAAGAAGGGTGACATAAGCCTACCATGGTTTGAGAAGGAGGAGGCCATTTTCGTTGAAGAAGAAAGCCCAAACATCAAATGTGATGCCACCCATGAGTGCAAATCCACAGACACCTGCTGTAAACTAAAGAATGGACAGTGGGGATGCTGTCCCTTACCAAAGGCTGTCTGCTGTAGCGACCAAGTCCACTGCTGTCCTGAGGGAACAACTTGTAGTGTGTCGACCGGGAAATGCAAGCGAGGGGACATCACTATGCCTTGGTTTGAGAAGAGGACTGCTTTAACAGTGAGTTGTACACTACTAACAACTGTTTCTGTATATTGGTAGTTTATACAAACTTGATTAAGGGTGTATATGTACTTTCCTCAGCTTGTATATCAAGAACTTAAGTATGATTTTATACATCTTATTGATGTTCAAGGGCATTTCAACCTGAGTAACTTCCTGATGTTTCAAATTACATCCATCCCTCTTCTTCAGCATCACTAAAAATGAACTAGTTAATTCTAGTGAGAAGATTATCATAGGTAAAGAAACTTGGAAAAAAAACAGTTGAACATGACAAAGACTTGTGTCACTGTTATGTAAATGAGATAAGATAGTTCCTATGGTAAGACTTGAACTTGTCAATGAGAGTTCTACACAAAGCTCTCCCTAAGGTGGGCTTGTACATTGTAGATCCACTCATAGCTGGCCTCCTTACCTCCCAATTCAAACCACCATGGTTCACAGTTGAAAATGTCAGTAGCTCCAGTCTAATAGAATATACCTGATGGTGCTGTATATGGTGGTAGATGGCAGTAGCTCTGCATTGTTGTTTGTACCTGTACATGTAATTCCTTCAGCAGTATGTTTTTGCTCACCATGTAGGTACAGGTAGACGTTGAGAAGACCCCCTGTCCTGGAGGTAAACAGGAATGTCCCACAAACTACACCTGCTGCCAGAGAGGAGCCACGCCCTACACCTGGGGGTGCTGTGACCTCCCCACTGTGAGTGCATCGTCGTACCCTTCCTGTAGCTGTATTCTGTATTGACTAGCGGGTATAAAAACACCCTTCCTACCACACCAGCTTTGTGTATCTGTATTGTGTAGCCTGCTTAGCCACCTTTTACATAACAAATCTGTATCTGTATAGCCAGTTTAACCCCAAATTGGTATAACACACCAGCTTCTGTATTTGTATAGCCGGTATTATAATAACCGCCCTTTGGTGTATCACCCCAGCTGCTATATCAGATTCTGTATCTCTATAGCCAGTATTACCACCATAGCACACCAGCTTCATTGTCTGTATAGCTGGTCTAACCAACTATATATATGGCCATCACCATATAACACACTATAATAGCTTCACAGGCATGTGGTGCATGCATTGACTGGCAATATTATTACATCAAATGACCTGTCCCACCTAACTTTTGCATTTTTTAAATCTAACTCCAAGCATACTTCAAAGCTATCTACCAAGGATTTCCCTACTTAATAATAATGACTTCCACTGTATGATAATTCTTGGATTTATAAGGGAAAAAATCTGTATTGTTGCTGTTATTTTCTAAATTTGTTGTTGTTATAGGCTGAATGTTGTCCAGATCGTAAGACCTGCTGTCCTAAAGGCTACCACTGTGACCCGAGCCGAGCAACGTGCTACAAGAGCGGAAGTGACGAAATTGTTGTGGCCAAACAACTCACCATCCCTGATACTGAACAATCTCAGGTGACAAAATACTCCAATTTGAGTAATGCTTGTGTGTGTTCATTGTGTTGTATTTGTTCATTTTGTGTAGGTGTGCAGCTATCAGCATACTTGCTGCCTTAGTGCACTCCTTGTATTGTTGCACTACAATTTTGAATAAATGAATAAATAAATAAATGCTTGTGTGTGTGGGCACCACCATGATTTTTTACCCCTTGTATAATGACATTATGGCATCATAATCAATGCAAAATGGGGGCTCCTGATTGCCCAATGTCATCTGGCTGTATGATAATAAGGCTTAAGGACGTTCTTTTAATGAAACAAATCTTTATTTTAAGTCTATTATTCCTCAGGAGGGAAGTGTTGTATGTCCAGGTGGTGAGTACCAGTGCCCAGACAAGACCACTTGTTGTATGAGTCCCTCTGGTACATTTGGATGCTGTCCTATATCTGAGGTAGGTACCTTTGGATGCTTTCATATTCTTCATATTGTTTTGGGCATGTCTGTGTTTCTGTTTGTATTTGTGTGTCTACATATGTCTATCTGTTTGTGCATGTGTATGTATGTGTGTGTGTGTGTGTGTGTGTGTGTGTGTGTGTTTGTGTGTGCATGTAGGCAGGTAGGTAGTATGTGTGTGTGTGTGAGATTGTACTATGTGGCTGGCTGTATGTGTGTGTGTGTGTTTGTGTGCGAGTGTGTGAGTTCAAGATAATGTAGAATATTTCCAATAACATGAGTTCTTAGGACTTTAAAACCACTGAAATATGTCTGAAACGTTTCCCTCCCTGTTGCAGGCTGTATGCTGTGCAGATGGGGTACATTGTTGCCCAAAGGACCACGTATGTGATCCGTCATCACAGGCATGTAAGGGATCCAGTGGTCAATTACCCTGGCTGGACAAACTGGTGGCCAAACCAGTACAGGTTAGTTCTGACTTTGCCTGATGGTCAAGATAATTCTCAATTGTGCTAATATCTACTCTATACTAGCATAATATTCTGCCAAGTCATATAATTTAAATGGTGATAATATAATATTGAAAATCCCAAAACTGTTTGGGGAAAAAGAATACTGGGAATGAATGATAAATCAATGATTTCAAAGATATAGAAACAATTATAAAATAAAAAGACAAAAGCAGTCCTGTAATTCTTTCAGTAATACATTTTGATTGTCAGTCAAAACTCATCCATAAAATCAATCAAGCCAACAGTTACTGATTACTTTCAAGACCAGTGTAGATATAAAAAATCAATAAACTTTCTGAAATGAAGGAAGGAAATCACTCTAAGGCTTGTTTCACACTCAAAACGTAGTCTTTATAATGTTGTACCTTTCAGATCCCTTGAGTCAACAACATTTTGCTTCTGAGACTGCATCATAGTTCATCTAGACATCCTATTATTGCATCTAATTCAGTATAGCAGATATCAAAGTACAAAATTAATGTTACTGTTGTTTTGATTGCAATTCAACTCAAAGAATGACCTCTAAACAATAGTACAAACAGTATAAAATTAATAATGATTACAAATATTTTTTAAAAATCACAATACTTGAATTAGATTATGACCACTACCAGTTTTGATATTGCATTATTATGTTATTTTCTGAGTGATGGTCAAGGAAGAATTTTGGTAACATGAAGATTGCTTTAATCCCTAAAACAACTATAAATTATTATTTAACTTTTTATAAAGGCTCATCATAACTTCCAGTTTTGCCATGGTATCATACTCCAGAGTGTGCTTTTCTCAGGAATTTTTATACTTTGTGGTAGATAGCATAGAGACAGCTTAAGGCTCAATTTTACATCATGTGTTGTTTTTCCTAATGACTATTTTAGACAGATAGAAAAACAGATTTTTAACAGAAAATTGATTTGCTGTCTCACTAAAACATTGATGATAGATCCAGTCAGTTGAAATTCAGCTTAGATTTCCAGTAATATTAAATCAGAACATAAAAATGTCAGGTTTGTTCTATATTTATGAATCTTATTTATCAAAAGATATACTGACAATTGTTACACACTGAACAAGTCCAAAGTAATGCTTGTTCACCCAATGTTGAAATAAACATGCAAATATACACTTGTTTTCATTGTTCTTTTACATGTACATGTATGTTTTGTTGTGATTTGTGGCACTTTAGTAGAGGAAACAAATTAAATATAAATGTCATAGAAATACAGAAAACAGACATTAAAGAATAAATTCAGCTTCGGTATATTTTGAAGAAGGAACCACAGAGCCAGTGTCAAAGGTGAAGTTTTTTTCTCTTCTTTGGATAAAAATTCTGATGAATACATTGAACACCTCAAATTCAATAAAAGAAAAGTCAATCAAAGGTACTGTTGTATCCTTAAGAATATATCGGTAGATTGATCTATGATAAAATGATATCAAAACTTGTGGGCATGTTAAACCTATAATTCCCAGTTACAGACAAGAAAATGTTTGAATGTCATTCAGTTACAATCAAGACAATCACAGATGCTGCATCCATATATACAAGGAATGTGGACCAATCTCAAAAGTGTGCCAGAAGCATATAATTTGAGAAACAATGTTATGCAATGATATCATATTCCTTCAAATTACAGTCTTTGATAAAGTAATACATAAATTGCAGTGACTGAACTGCTAGTATGCTGACTATCATTAAAACATTTTCGATCAATATAAGACCATCTATTGCAGATCACATAAGACTTTGAGTTGTTGCAGAGATCAACCCCTTAATTTTGATTACTCTGACAATGAAATCCTTGTCTGACTTACATAATTCATAAACAAGCTTGAAAGTTGTCAATCTGATTATTTGTGTCCCCTATAGGTGTCAAATATAAAGTGCGGCAGTAGTAACTCCACATGTGGGGACAGTGAGACCTGCTGTAAGATGGCCAGTGGGCAGTGGGGATGCTGCCCTATGCCTAAGGTATGTGTTTGACTTCACATTTTGTCATTTACTAAAAATGAGGAAGAAAAAATATTAATTGTTGCTTGAGTATGTCTGTTACTATTACTATTACTTTTATTATATGTGGGAAAGGCAGTGGCACAAAGCTGTAGGGGAAGGGAGTAAAGACTCCCATCTCTGATTCCCTTGCTTTTTTTTATTTAGATACAATTACTGCTCAACTACGACAATGACTACAAGATATTTACATACAAAATTGGCACTGTGATATTCTAAACAATTCCAAACTTTCCTTTCTTTCTACTCTGAACAAACACTATAAACAAGAAAACTACCTTTCAAATATAAAAAGACTTGACATACGTAGTGCAATCACAAAACTCAGAATTGGCTGTCACAAACTTAGTATAGAAACCGGAAGATTCCAAAAAATTCCCAATGACCAGAGGGTTTGTCCATTTTGTCCAGAGCTTATTGAGGACGAATATCACTTTTTGATTGTGTGTCCTAAATATATTAATGTACGCAATGCACTATACACTAGACTATCAGATTCTTCCCCGGCATTCACCACAATGAACTTGGAAAGCAAATTTAAATATATATTGACTTGTGACAAGCCCTACATGCTATACATAGGGATATATATTAAAGACTGTATGGATATTAGAAACGATTGTATAATTTGATACCTATCTCATACTAGCCGCCCACTTTTGTACAAAATGTATTAGATTAGCCTTATGAAAATGTAGTTGACATGTACTTACTTACGTTAGTAGATGCCATACTTTGTACACTGTACAATTGTTGCGCAATAAAGTTATGTTATAAAGTGTGAGAAACAACATTAACAGCACTGCTGCCTCAGTGTGTAACATTTGTTATACTGTAATGTGTTTTTGTACCATGTATGTGTAAGGATATATGTCAGACCCAGTGTAATAGATTTATTTATGACTACATGTTTATAGATATCTTAGGACATCAGTCAGGAAATTTGTATCTTGTTATATTCTCCCTGATGACCCCAATAAAAAGCTCCCAACAAAGGCTCAAACACACAAAGAAAACCAATCTACCTTGCCCTTGTTCCAGGCTGTGTGCTGTCAGGACCACCTGCACTGCTGTCCCCGCGGCTACACCTGCGACATGCCGACCAGCACCTGTATCCGTGGCAACGACATTCTCCCCATGGCCCAGAAAAGACCCGCAGACGTCTTCACTAAATCTTAGGGAAACCCTGATCTTACAACATTCCTTCTCACAAACTGACAGCACACCAGAAAAGACTTTCTGACTATTAACTGTACCAATATATGGCCAAACTGGTGTTCTAGCCAGATTGAATTTTTTTTAATCATCTCAATTTTGTTTCACATAACATCTTTTTGAGCACCAGAGGGTCCAAGGGCATGCTACCCAGGAAAATTTTGAAATCTTGACTCTCTGAATTGAATGTTACCTTTATAGATTGTATTTACATGCCTGTTTTGAGGCATGATCTGGAATACATTTGTACAGCTAAAGTATAGTAGGACTGATATTAAATTAAAGGTACTTGAGGAAAATGGTCGCAGTAGACAGGTGACCACTATAGACAAGATTCTTAATGCTTGTGTCAATAATGGGAAAAATAATTTTAGGATCGCCAAAAAAAGTGGCCACAATGTCAAGGTGGTCCTTGTCCAGGGGTGGTCATGCTAATTATGTGGCTAAAATTTAGATGACAATTCTCTTGTGAACTGAGACATTTGCCAAAATTGATGATAGAAGTCCCCTAAATTACCATGTGACATTAAAAAGCAATGGCTGCTACAAGTAAAATAAAATTGACACCTAAATTTTATAAAGATCTAAGTATCAGTTAAGATGATTAAAGGCTAGTAAATATCATGATGACGGTTCATTGCAAGGCCTTACAAGCTGTTCTTGCACGTATAGTAGAAATGAAACAGTAAACCAAAAATGTTTGACTGCAAATCAATATAATTTTTTTGCTGTTTGGATAAAGTTTGACACATAAAATTTATGCTAAGCTTATTAGGCAGTAGGTAGTGATGTTTTTGTCATGTCTTGCTTGGCCCTTGTTATACAATTAGCATTTGTTTGCTTGCTAAATCATTATTGGACAGCGTAAAAGTTGTTAAGGTAAGTGTCCCACAAATGGGTGTGTTGTACAGTATCGCTATTTCTTGATTTTGTATGCTGCTAGTCTAAGATTAAGATATGCAAAAGAGAAGTATATAAGAATGATTTGTACAAAGTTGTAATGCACGTACTGTTTGATATTGCTTTGGTTATTTTTGCAGTCTTACAAGAAGATTCTTGGTGTAGTATTTGTAATGTGAAACAACTTCTAAAGTTGCTTGGTGGTTTTGCTATGGGGAAGTCATCCTTTTTTTCTGTATTCTATTTGTTATTACACTAAATTCGTAAAATAAGACTTTTGAGGTTCTTTTCACAACTGTTATTTCAATGTGAGATCTCTTTCTATCTGGCTGTATAGTCATGTGTAGATGCTGGTCCAGGAACATCTGAAGATATTTTCAGATCATCAAAGTAAATACTAAATGAGATTTATATCAATGACTTGTAAAGGAAATATGGTGATTATATCCATGTATCTGGGAATGTAAAATCTTGGGTGCCAAAAAAGGTGATATTTCAAAATATACCAACTTGGTCATTATTGTCATCAAATGCTCACTTAGTGTACGGTTGTTATTTTTTATATTCTTTTCATGCATTCCAGTATGTGTGTGTGTGCACCAAGGACTGTGCTGTTTGTTGGCCTGTTTGTGTGTGTATCTCTCTCTCTCCTCCCTCTCTCTCTCTCTCTAGATCTCTCTCTCTCTCTTTCTCTCTCTGTGATAATATTATACTTACAGATATTGAAGTGCCCACAACTTCTTGTTCTATCCTAACCTTAGCTTCTAGACTTTTGAATGCAAAATTACAGAACATCCTTGAATGGCTATGCCCAGGCCTTTGTCCGTGGATACACGCCCTAGGGCACGCAGGAGTAGCCTCCAGGTCCGTCCTCCTTACAGGCCAGTCCTACTGGACAGGACTGGACAGTACAGCTGTGCAAACTCTGCTCTGACAGCCGGACATGAGCTGTAGTATACGGAGAAATGTAATGATAACAACACCATGAAGATACAGATTCTGTAAAGAATATGGAACTATACCACAAATGGGCCAACTTGAACATCTTTAAATTAGTCTAGTCAGGAGTTGAAAATTCGTTTTCAACAAATATTTTTCAAAGCACACACATAGATATTGTCTTGATAGGTATAGCCTTTCAAAGCATTTCAGCAATAGCGTTAGTAACAAGTCAGTGATGGCTTGAGTAATCGCTCTACTGATTGCTAACTTTATGCATATACATGTAGAAATGCAACGTTGCGTTTATTACATGCAGTACCTTTCGGTATACACATCAAAGACCCGCCAGTGTCCACACAGTTCCAGTCGAACGGACACGGGTTCGGGTTGCAAAGGTCCAGATCTGAAAGAAAACCATACCGCGTTGATATGCGTCCTCTAGGTAGTAATGCAGTGTGACAGTTCGCGTATTTAGCCAAGTGATTGAACCTTACGATATCGCAAATATTGAGTTGAATATTCAAGTTTTTAAACTATTGCACCCGTTCGATGCACGGCACAAGCGACATTAAACAATCCTGCACAGTATGCGCATCGTATGAAGTATGCATAAGTGAAGGCGTTCAGCACCAAGGACAGGCACAACATGAACGCGTTATACCGCAGCGAAACTATGCCCCAGCAGCGCAAAAAAAGTCAAGGGTCTATGACCTGAATAAGAAATGGAATTATTGATAAATATTGTGTTCAAAATGCCAGCAGGACAAGGGCTCAGAGACCAATCGGCTACTTCTTTTTATTATATGTATGTAACCTAAGCTGTACATACGCGTTTCGCAGCGGTGCCCGGTGTAGCCGGGTTGACAGGTGCAGGTCTTGTGTGCGTCATCAAAACATGAGGTGCAGGTCCCGCCGTTCTGACACACGTCACGCTGACACATCACTATGTCTGGACAACACGTTCGGATAAATAAAGAGATGTTTACCTTGAAGGAAAACACATTTTTGTTTTGCTCTGTTTCTTCTTCCTCACACACACTCACACACACACACAGAGAGAGAGAGAATGTACACGTTTTCAAAAGTAACACGGCTCCTGTAAAGTATATAAGTCATAAAAATATTATATTTATAGAGTTGTGAAAACTAAAATCTAGAAGCTTGATCTAACTAAAGCTTACCACTTTGACAGACGAATCCGTGTTTCTCTGAGCAGACAGCCACGTTCAACTTGAAGTCGGCGCTACTGTCCATGAACACGCAAAATATGGGAGGCTGTCCGGAGGCCCATAGCTCGTGGCCTGGGGGGAAAATACGACCGTAAACAAGTAGCAATAAATCGAAGATTTCATACCACAGTGAAGTAATTAGAGTTGATGTGAATTTCTAGTTTTATTCGTGATTTTCAATTTCCGAATTTGAGTTAAACTTGAGTCAAATTTGTAGACAACCTCGCCAAACAGCAGCCAACAACAGTCATTTCTCCTGACTTACTCTTAACCATGGTAAAGGGCAGTTCAAGTGGTAGTGTTTGGGAGTCTATATTCGGCAAATTGTAACAGGGGCTTGAGAAATAAGAGAAGTTACCTATCCCAGCAGACAGACCAGTGTAGGAGCAGTGGACGGCGGGTGACGTACTCCCGGCCCAGTGACTCGCGTTACTGTGTGTTCGGATGAGTTCAGCCACAAAACTCTGTGTCCCTGCATCCCCGATCAGCGCCAGACTGCCTCCCATAGCGGCACATTCCTGCGTAGAGCTCTCGTAGTCTCTGGTGACGTCTGACAGCTTGTAGCATAGCGAGTTGTGGACAGGTGGCGAGGGCACGTCTTCCAAAACATATCGTGATAAATTTTGCAACGATCATTTGTACAGATACAATATTTGGTAACTTCAACAAAACGTAAAAATACTAGGTAGTATAAGGTGAATTGGTATTAGATTCTTATACATTGTACATCATTTGGTGGACTTTATAATGCCTAGACAGTGTGTAATATACGGTCATCGAAATACAGTTATACGAATGTAGAATACCTGTTACTGGAGAAGTAGTCATCATTGGAGTCGTACTGACAACTGTGGGGCCAGCTCCGTTTTCTGTTAAGAACATTCATATATTAAATCCATTAATGCATATTTTGTAAAAACAAAAAACAACGAACACACTGAAACCAAAACCTCCGTACACGAAGGTATAAAAACTTCATACCAGCACAGTAGCCCAGGTTACAGGTAGGGGTATGTATCAGGTAGTACACGTAGAACCCGTCGGGACAGGCCGCCACTTGTATGTCCCACCTCCAGGCGCAGTGGTAGTTAGAGTCCCGGTAGGCGCACGCCTAGGGATCACATACAAAGACCGCATCTCAAATTAAATTTATTGACACAACAAAAGTAGAGCGACTTTCGTAAGGTCTTTGACTACCTGTAGACATACACAGATACGTGGGTACAATAAAATTAACCTACGTACAAGACAATAGATAAATCAACTTATACTCCTTGTTCTAAGGTCTAAACATTTTTTTATATATTTAACTATTTGTAAACAGTAAGGGTTACTAGTAGTACCTTCTAGAATGAAATTGAATTTATTTATAGCATGAAATCTAACAAATTCCGTTGAGTAATCAGAAAGAAGGTTGAACAGCTTTTAATTGTGCGTTTATCATCATATAGTGAACAATCCATAATAAAATATTGTTCGTCTTCAATCTCATTATATTAAGACAGAATAGAGAGGCAGCACCTGACGCGTGACCACCCCGTCAGCGACAGTTGGGTGTTGCCCGTTCATCCACACCGGTGCGAAGGTGCCGCAGAGGTGGGTGGCACCCGGCGCGACCGTCGGCATCTGGGTCCCCGCCGGCCCGGTGAAGCGGTACCAACCTTCGGTATAAACAGATGTAAATGTCTGATACAATGTAATGTAGCCAGCTGCCGCCGCGCCGCGTGCCTGCGAAGCTGGTGTGTTACGCCGAAGGGCGGTTATACCGGCTATACTGCAGACTGATTTCGGAAATTTCAGATTTCCTTGAAGCACCTTGGGTTTTCGTGACCTTCAAGTGGACCCAATTTCCTGTATTCTCCTATCATTATGCCTGTCAATGTTTCCTCACCCATGTGCTGTCATCCTACCCTAAAGTTCACCCATTTCAATTCATGACCTTTTGACCTCCCGTCATACTTCCTGTCAATCTTTCCACACCCACATGCGGACAAACAAACACACAAACCCACAACTCAGCCACCCAAAACAATACTTCCTCACCTTCGGTTAGTCCAGTGGAATCCTCATAGCCGGGCTTGTCACAGTGACGATCGTTTGTAATGAGAGTCAAGCTTCGCCAGGGGTCATCCAAGACCGAGTACAGGTCACAAGGTGCTGCATAGAACAGGAAATCAGGTATTACACCATTTCCCGAATTAATAAATGGTTTATTGGTCAATCATTACCCGTGCAATCGCAGCCTTTTATAGCGCTGAGTTGATGCAAGTTTTACAATCACATAATACACATGATGCATGTAACATATTTGCTCCACACACACTTTTGTGGAACTGTCGCAAGTGTCTGTGCGGCTGCCATTCGGCGCCACCAAGTGACCTCAATACGACTTTCCCCAACCTGAGGAATTTCGTGTTAAGCGCCTTTCCCAAGGGCACAACGTCGGGTCGCTTTCATAGTCGAACGCTCTACCACTCAGTTCACTCTTTTGATGGCATCCATGCAGAATATGGCTTTCCCGACTTTAATTTTCAGTCATACTCGGCTGTTGTAAACAGCAAACAGCGCCTAGCATATGTATAAAGAATAGTCTGTACTCTAAAGATCTTTGCTAACTGAAAATTTGTAAAAAAAAAATAATAATAATAATAGCGAGAATAGGTGGAATATTTTATCAAAGGTCTTGGTCGTCTTTGCAGAACAGATTTGTTCGTGGGTTACAAATTACAATATTCTACATCCGGGTAACTCCTCTGAGCAATATCTACTACATATTAAAAATAAACTTACCTGCATTGGCTCCAGTGACCATTATTATAGCCAGGACACATAAAGTCACATTGCTGATAGCGGCCATTGTAGAAGAAGACTGGAAAATAGGACTGGGGTAAAAAGGAGAAAATTCAGAATCCACGATCTACCCCGTCGTATTTAAGTATGAGGGGACTTTGCTCCAACACGTCCAATATAATGGGAGTTGTTTTAGACACGGAGTGACTGAGTGTAAGTTTAAGTTAGTGCCTGGTCATACACATATAAGTGCACTCCTGTGGAAAAGTTAGAATTGTCGTGCATGTACCTTACAACATTCAGCTGTACTGTACGTTGCCAAAAGGCTGACTTAGATCTTTCCAGACGCCTGGTTCTGTCAAAGCCTGCTCACAAATCCTATTGTAGGACGACAGACGGCCTACGAGCGGGCCCTACATGTATGCATTAGGATTTTGGTAATGCAAAGTTTACCAAAACTCCTTTTAACAACTGCAAACATTCCAGCATGTGGACGCACATGTTGAGGTATCTAGAATGGAAACATTGCTGAAGTAGGAACAGTGGATTTAGAACTCAGCTGTAAGCATATGTTGGTCACCAAAGCCGACGTAGTCACTCCAGGACCTTATTTGCAACAAAATCTATGAGAAATGCCCTTTGTATGTGAGACTGACGTTGGGTAGAGAATATGTTCAACCGATATTGTTCTTGAGTATATTATTTGCATAATCAATGAGAATATTCAGTCGTAAATTTTAACATCATCTGGTAAAGGTATGAGATCACAGAACTCTAGTACCTATCTAATGTTAAAGCAGAAAAAAATGAAGTTCTTGTTGATCACATTCCTATCCTGTCTTTGATCAGATCTTGCCTCCAATTTAAAAGTCATTAAACTACCTTGGCTGAAAGTTGCTCTTGTTTAAATCTTGCCTGCGTTTTCTAGTCCAATGGCCACCCGGAAATCAGTATTCAAACATTGCTTTATTCATAATCACAATAACAACTTTACAACTAGTCTCAGCGAACTGCATTGTGATTTTGTAAAATATTCACCTCTGACTCTCAATTGCCCTTTATACTCATATATTGTACATTGTTAAACATTAACAGCTATATTCAAGAACCCTCAAAAAATCACCATAGGTACGTTTACATCAAAATTTAGAAAAACAAAGTTTGACTCTACAAAGAAGTCAGTATACTCTTGTACTCTGACAGCTCCACAGCTTTAATATTCATCACACGTAACGTTTTAAATTAGTCTGCCACTCAGAATGTTGTTACGGTGTTCAAAGCAAGTCGTGACGCAGATCCGACATTTCTCACATGGCTGGTGTGTAGTAGGCATCCTTCCATCTCAAATGGCTGATACAGAATGTTAATAAACCGGCTGTTTTTGTGCAAATTTGTAACAGCCCTCACCTTTACATGCTTTGAGATTATTACACAGACATTATGTTGTAAGTCCTGGTCAGATAAGTCACCTGAGCACACATGTATCTGGCACTGTTGTGCACTTGTTACAACACTTGTTGGTAGTACTGCTAAATCTTTTCATTTAGAGTGTCTCAGAAATGTCACATAAAGGTGAAATGTCGTCTGTGTTGAACAAATCAGTGTCTAATTCTGACACGTGTTCGTTTAGACGTTCTGTCTCTTCAGCGTTGTCCATGCCAGGATTCGTCATACATATGTGGTCAGCGTTACATTCTGCGTTGTACCAAGCTGTGTCTACGTCTGACACATGTCCGCCCGACTTTCCCGTCTCTTTTTTGTTGTTGTTCTTCATCATTTTCCTCATCAGGAAACGTCACATAAGTGTGGTCAGAGCTGTCCTCAGAGATAGATGAAGCTGTGTCCAAGTCTGACACTTGTCCGTCCTTCTTTTCTGACTCTCTTTGCTGTTCTTCAACATTATCATCATTTTCCTCCCCAGGAAACGTGACATAGGTGTGATCACAGCCCTCCTCCGTGTTGGACGAATCTGTGTCTAAGTCTGACCGCCCGTCCGTTTTTCTTGTTTTCCCGTCGGCATATTCCTCCTCGGGAAACGTCACATAGGTGTGGTCACAGCTGTCCTCTGTGATGTCTAAATCTGACTCGCGTCCGTCCGTTTTTCTTGTTTTTTCGTCGGAATTTTCGTCCCCAGGAAACGTCACATAGTCGTTTTCTGACACATCATCGCCGCATGCAGACGTGGATGCAGCGTCCCTGTCTTCTGATGTGCCCTCACGCTGAACATCTTCTCCCGGAGAATGGTTAGGGAGCGTCATGTATTCCTGGTCTGAGTCGCTCCCGTCATCATTTCGGTTGGTGGTTTCTGACGCCGGCGATGTGACTGAATCTGGGACTGGTCTCTCGTTGTCATATTGACCGCCGTCTGACGCCACATTGTCCGAAGATGTCGCAACTTCAACGCTGCTGCGTTCCGCGGCGTTCTTGCAGTTGTCGTAGTGCCCGCTCGCTTGTGCTTGAGCGTGGACTTCTGCGAGGACGCGTAACACGTTACTCTTGACTTTGGGTCTGCTCGATGTCGCATCCTCGACGTCGCTCAGTCCCACAGCGCTAGCATTGTTGTCATTGTCATATTGTCCGCTTGCCTGCGCTTGAGCGTGGGCGTCTGCAACGACGCGTAGCACGTTACTCTCGGCTCTACGTCTGCTCCTTGTCGCTCTTCTCTTAGCTATAGCCAGGCTCTTCTTCTGGTTGTCACAAGGTCGGGCCCCGTCGGCCTTGACAAGGGAAGATGTCTTCCCTGTTTCTTTGTGAGGGACTGTCCGGTACGGATGCTTGCTCACAACGGCATCATCAGAAAACTGGCCATCGTTTTCATACTGACCTCCGTTTGCGCCGTCTGTGTCCGAAAACTGATCGTCGTTTTCGTACACGTCTTTACTTGCACCTTCTGTGTCCGAAAACTGGTCGTTGTTTTCATAATGAACTCTGTTGTCGCCGCCTGAGTCGGAAAATTGGTCGTCGTTTTCATAGCTGACTCCTGTGACTGAGTCCGTGCCAGAAAAATGGCCATTGCTTTCGTCGTTGTGTTTTTCCGCAGCATTCCTGTGTCCATTGGTGTTGTTCTGTTGACGGGCTCCTTTACACTTGGTTACACAAGCAGCTATTACGACAACGATGAGAGAACATCCCACGAAAGGTGCCAGCCCAAACAGGACAAGTTGCATCGGAGATAGTCCAGGACCAGGGTGAGTTGTGCCCTTGCCCCCCACCGGTGTCGCGGCATCCCTAGCTGTCGTTTGGGACTGAGAGGCGTACATGTACGTGTAGGTTCTTGTGCTTGTCTCGTTTGTTGTTTTCTGGCGTCCGCTTGGAAACTCAGTGCCAGCGACAGTGAGCACAGTGGACGCATTCGCGGCGTTAGCATGATTCGCCGTGACCAGGCAAGTGTACCGACCTTCCATCCCGCGACGGAGTGTGGGGATGTGCAGCACGGAGTAGCACGTTTTCTTTGTTTCACGTCTGGTGACGGGTGTTTCATTACAGTGCGATTCTCTCACGTCGGTGTAGGTTCTGGAGTACTCGCGGGTTGACGAGAGGCATTTTCCTTTTGGAGCGATCCAAGAGAACGTCAGATCTAGACCTTCCTGACAGTCTGTCTGACAGGTGAGCGAAACGTTACCTGTAACCGTCCCGTAGTCTGAGGACACAGACACCTTGTAGTCACACTTCAGATCGTCCATGGACAACCATCGGATTCTCTTGTACGGGAAAGAGCCACACGTGATGCTCCACTGCTTGTTTCTAGTCATCCATCTCTTCATATCGCGCAGCTTACAGTCACACGGGAGACCGTTTTTAGCCAAAACCAGACGTGAGACGTGCTTCAGCTCTTCGGCTGCGATGAGTGACGTTAAAGGATTCTGCATCATCGTGAGCTCTAGAGGTCCGGGTGACTGATCTGTCCCCCGCGGAATGTTGGAAAGGCAGTTGCGACTCAGGAAAAGCTTGCGTAGTCTGGCGAGTCCAACAAATGCCGCGTCATCAATGTAGTGTAGCCGGTTATCGACCAAGTTCAGGACTTGCAGTTTGGCCAGTCCCCTGAAAGTCTCGGCCTCTAGGCGCGTCATCATATTCTCGGTTATGAAGAGTTGTGACAGATTCGGTAAGGTTTGAAATGACCCTGGTTGGATGGTCACAACCTGGCTCCCGCGTATGAATAGTAGCCTCAAAGATTCGAAACGAGGAAAGTGTGTGATATTTGGGATGTTCTGATGCCGTATTTCGAATAATTTCAGACTGGGGGGCAACGATTTTGGAATGGAGTGGAAAGAATGGGCTTTAAAGCAAATGAGTTGCGTAGTATCGTCTGTAAAGTTCCCTTCGTGCGCGTACATCTTAGTCGAACAACAACACTCCAGGTTCGGGTAGGAGGCTGTGTGGCCTGCTCCGCTCCATGTAAAAAATACGACCAAACCAAGCAGACTGGAGTGCGCCATCTCAGAGTCACGCCTGTACAAGACGTCCAGGCAAAAGTATTCAGCTAAGTTCTGAGACACTCACCTACAGAGTCAAGAAAACTTGAAGAATGGACGAGGCCGGTTCTCTCGTGTCCATGTCCGTATTGTGCTGACCTTTCCTACATCCCGGTAAGCTTGGAGCCCAGAAACTCAAGCCTACCCACTTCTTGGCTTCCTTCATACTTTTTCAAGAGCACTTTTTCCACAGCCTTTCTCGGATCCAGCCAGAAATCTCCTCAAATGAAAATACCAGCCCGGACTCACACGTTGTGCGTATGCATAGTTATAACCACGACTTACGAATAACTAATACGTGTTTGCTGTTGAATTGAATATTAATACAAATACATTATAGTCGTTTGTATACCAAGGAAGTCACGTGGCAAGACGAGTCCGCCATTATTCTAAAACAAGCCTTGCACGAAAAGACATGGTCGATTTAGCCCTCTATTTTTTTCATTCAGTATATAATAAATATAGTCTGCAGTCGTCTCTTCCATGGCTTTTTTTTTATCCTGTGTTCATAAAATACTCAAATCGACCTGCTGTCACATTGGTGATGTCACAAGCAGGTGGTGTCAATAGACCGATTTACTCCTTGACCATATCATGAAATATTGCTGTAGGCAAACCTAATGCGTAACATCAATATCCGCAGCTCCTAAACATCAACAAACGAACGTACGTGTTATAATACCCATGTTTAGCTCTTGGCGCTATATCATATTGACTCCTTTTAGCGTGTTTGAATGACTAACACATGAGGCTCATAATTAGACGCAACCGTCTGGAAATTCGTTTCATGTTTTTTTTAGCCCGATTGAAAGTGACTCCGGGATAGGTGACTAGGGGTTAGTTTAGGTGTTGTGCGATAAAAACATACGAAGCTCTCTTCTGTTTGGAAACATTGCTGAAGTCTAATTCTCGGGACCTGTAGTAACAGTGAATTTACTTTTGGGTCTCAACTGTAGCGTGTTGGTCACCAAAACCAAAGTAATGACTAGTTAGTAGTAGATCTAGATATTACGTATCTAATATTGAAGCTAAAGTGATGTTCTTGTTTATAGCTAGACTATCTTATCTGTCTTAAAAGATTTTATCTCAGATTTAAAAGTAACTAAAACTAAAAGCTTGGCGGAAATTTGCGCTTAAGTCTTGTCTGCGTCTTATCTAGATCACACCTAATAAAGATAAGAAAAACAGTGTTCAAACATTGCTTTATTCATATTCACACAACAACATTACAACTAGTCGCAGCGAATTTGATTCTGATTTCATATCATTTTCACATCTGAATCCCAATTGAATTTTTACTCATATATTTTACGTTATTTAACATGAATAGATGTGTTAACAAGCTCTCAAAGATAATCCATACCGGTACATTAACATCACAGTTTAGAAATCAAAGTTTGACTCTACAAAGTCTACTCTTGTACCTCTATAACCGCACACTTGTAATATTCATCACACCTTACGTTATATAAACGTTAGAAATTAGTCTGTCACTCAGAATGTTGTTACGGTGTTCAAAGCAAGTCGTGACGCAGATCCGGCATTTCTCACATGGCTGGTGTGTAGTAGGCATCTTTTCATCTGAAATGGCTGATACAGAATGTTAATAAACCAACTCTCCAAGCAGAGGTAGATGGGGGAAGATCGTTTGCTTTTTATATATGGCCCGTCTTTTGTCGCTACCCCCACCAACTAGAGGGAGTAGCGACAAAAAAGGGCCATACGTAAAAAGCAAACGATCTTCCCCCCATCAACCTCTGCTTGGAGAGTAAATAAACCGGTTGTTTTGTGCAAATTTGTAACACCCCTCACCTTTACATGCTTTGAGATTATTCCACGGACATTATGTTGTAAGTCCTGGTCAGATAAGTCACCTGAGCATATTTGGCACGGTTTGTGCACTACCTCTGCGTTAAATAAAGCTGTGTAAGTCTGACACATGTCCTACCGTCTTCCCAGCCCAAAATGCTGTCTCTCTTTGCTGTTTCTTCGTCATTTTCCTCCCCAGATGACGTCACATAGGCGTGGCCCGAGTTGTCCTCTGTGTTGGACGAAGCAGTGTTTAAGTCCGACACGGGTTCGCCCATTTTTCCAGACGGTCTTTGCTGTTTTTCATCATTTTCCTCCCCATGTCCAGGAAACGTCACATAGAAGTGGTCAGAGCTGTCCTCCTCTGTGTTGGACGAATCAGTTTCTGAGTCAGACAAGTGTCCTTCTTCAAGTTTTGTTTCATTTTCGTCTTCCTTTGGATTTTCTGTCTCAGGAAATGTCACGTAAAAATGATCAAGAACGTCGTCTGAGTTGGTCACAACAGAGTCTAAGTCTAAGTCTGACGCTAGACCGTTTTGGTGTTCTGTCTTTCGCTTGTTTTCACCACTTTCCTCGCTAGGAAACATCACATAGGTGTGGTCAGAGCTGTCCTCTATGTTGGATAAAGCTGTGTCCAAGTCTAAAACACGTCCGTCCTTTTTTCTTGTTTTCTCGGCGGCATTTTCATCGCCAGGAAACATCACATAAGTGTGTTCAAGGCTGTTCTCTTCGTAAGGCAAAGCCGTGCCTAAGTCTTCCCTGCTTCTATGTCTGCTTTCCTCGTCAGGAAACGTCACATAGGTGTGGTCAGAGTTGTCCTCTGTGTTGGACGAATCAGTGTCTAAGTCATCAGGCACGCGTTCTTCCTTCTTATCTGCCTCTCTTTCATATTTTTCATTATTTTCCTCCAAAGGAAACATCACATAGGTGTGTTCAGAGCTGTCCTCTACGTTAGATGAAGGGGTGTCTAAGTCTGACACATGTCCTTCTTGAGCTCTTGTTTTAGTCTTCACATTTTCTGTCTCAGGAAATGTCACGTAAATGTGATCTGAAATGTCGCCTGAGTCCAAGCCTGACGCTTGGCCATTTTGACATTCTGTTTCTCGTTCATAATCATCATTTTCCTCGCTAGGAAACGTCACATAGGTGTGGTCAGAGTCGTCCCCCGAGTTGGACGAATCAGTGTCTCGCGTGTGTTCACTTTTCTTTTCCGCCTCGCTTTGCCGTTCTTCGTCATTTTCCTCCCCAGGAAAAGTTACATAGGTGTGGTCAGAGCTGTTTTCTGCGTTGGACGAGTCCGTTTCTGAGTCAGGCAAGTGTCCTTCTTGAGCCCTTGTTTCAGTCTTCTCTTCCTTCACATTTTCTGTCTCAGGAAATGTCACGTAAACGTGATCAGAAATGTCGTCTGAGTCTGACGCTTGGTCAATTTGGCGTTCAGCTACTCGCTTGTGTTCTTCATCATTTTCCTCGTTAGGAAACGTCACATAGGTGTGGTCAGAGTCGTCCACAGTGTCTATGTCTAGCATGTGTTCACCTTTGTTATCTGCCACTCTTTGCCGTTTTTCATCATTTTCCTCCCCTGGAAATGTTACATAGGTGTGTTCAGAGCTGTCCTCTGCGTTGGATAAAGCCGTGTCTAGGTGTGACACTCGCCCCTTCTTCTTTTCTGCCTCTCTTTTCTGTTTTTCATCATCTTCCTCCCCAGGAAACGTCACATAGGTGTGGTCACACTCTTGCTCTGCGTTAGATGAAGCTGTGTCTAAGTCTGTCTTGCGTCCGTCCGTTGTTCTGTCTGGTTCGCGTCCTTTCTTTTTTCTTGTTTTCCCGTCGGCATCTTCCTCCCCAGGGAACGTTATATAGTCGTTGTCTGACGACACATCATCAGCACATGCTGAGGTGGATGTCATGTTCCTGTCGTCCGCTTTTCCCTCAGATTGTGCATTTTCTCCATTCCCAGTGTCTTCTCCCGGAGAATGACTAGGGAGCGTCATGTAGTCCTGGTCTGAGTCGCTCCCGTCATTACTTCGTTTGGTGGCTTCTGACGCCGGCGTTGTGACTGAATCTGTGACTGGTCTCTCGTTGTCATATTGACCGTCGTCTGACGCCACATTGTCCGAAGATGTCGTGGCCTTACTGTTGTTGATTCCAGTGGCGTTCGTATCGTTGTCGTAGTGTCCACTTGCTTGGGCTTGAGCGTGGACTTCGGCGAGGACTCGTAACACGTTACTCTTGGCTTTTGGCCTGCTCGATGTTGCAGGCGCAGTGTGACAGAGTCCTGTGGCTTTTTTGTCGTTGTCATATTGTCCGCTTCCTTGTGCTTGAGCGTGAACGTCTGCAATGACACGTAACACGTTACTCTTGACTTTGGGTCTGCTCGAAGTCGCAGTGTGGCAGAGTCCTGTTGCTTTTTTGTCGTTGTCGTATTGTCCGCTTGCTTGTGCTTGAGCGTGGACGTCTGCAATGACACGTAACACGTTACTCTTGACTTTACGTCTGCTTCTTGTCGTTTTTCTCTTACCCAGGCTCTTCTTCTGGTGGCGAGAAGGTCGGGTCCTTTTGGCGTTTGCAATCGAAGGTGTCTTTCCTGGTTTCCTACCGTGCAACTTGAGAGGGACTGTCCGGCGCGGATGCTTGCTCGCAACATCGTCATCATCAGAAAACTGGTCGTCGTTTTCATACTGACCTCCGTGTGTGCAGTCCGTGTCCGAAAACTGGTTGTCGTTTTCGTATTCGTTTCTCTTTCCACCGTCTGTGTCCGAAAACTGGTCGTCGTTTTCATAATGAACACCGTTTTCGCCATCTGTGTCCGAAAACTGGTCGTCATTTTCGTAGCTGACTCCTCTGGCTTCTGCGTCCGTGCCTGAGATCTGGTCATCGTTGCCGTAGTATCTTCTCCTGTGTCCATTGGCGTTGTCCCGCTGACGGTCTCCTTTACACTTGCTCACACAAACAACGATCACCATCACGATAACGGAGCATCCAGCGAAAGGCGCCAGTCCAACCAGGACTAGTTGCATCGGAGAAAGTCCACGATCAGGGCGAGTTGTACCCTTGCCTACCACGGGTGTTGTGGCATCCCTCGCTGTCGTTTGGGACTGAGAGGCGTACATGTTCGCGTAGGTTCTTGTGCTTGTCTCGTCTGTTGGAAGCTCGGTGCTGGGGAAAGTGAGCACAGTGGACGCATTCGCGTCGTTAGCATGATTCGCCGTGACCAGGCAAAGTGTACCGACCTTCCATCCCGCGACGGAGTGTGGGGATGTGCAGCACGGAGTAGCACGTTTTCTTTGTTTCACGTCTGGTGACGGGTGTTTCCTTACAGTCCGATTCTCTCGCGTCGGTGTAGATTCTGGAGTACTCGCGGGTTGAAGACAGACGGTCTCCATTTGGAGCGATCCAAGAGAACGTCAGATCTAGACCTTCATGACAGTCTGTCTGACAGGTGAGCGAAACGTTACCTGTAACCGTCCCGTAGTCTGAGGACACAGACACCTTGTAGTCACACTTCAGATCGTCCAGAGACAACCATCCGAGTCTCTTGTACGGGCCAGGGTCACATGTGATGCTCCACTGCTTGTTTCTAGTCATCCATCTCTTCATATCGCGCAGCTTACAGTCGCACGGGAGACCGTTTTTAGCCAAAACCAGCCGTGAGACGTGCTTCAGCTCATCAGCTGCGATGAGTGACGTTAAAGGATTCCACGTCATGTCGAGCACAAGGGGCCAGGGGGACTGGTCTGTCCCCCGCGGAATACTGGAAAGGCAGTTGCGACTCAGAGAAAGCTTTCGTAGTCCAGTGAGCCCAGCAAATGCCGCGTCATCTATATAGTGTAGCCGGTTGTAGTTCATGTTGAGGAATTCCAGCTTGGTCAGTCCCCTGAAAGTCTCGGCCTCCAAGCGGGCGATCTTGTTCCCGGTTATGGAGAGTTGTGACAGATTCGGTAAGGTTTGAAACGATCCTGGTTGGATGGTCACAACCTGGCTCTCGCGTACGGATAGTGACTCCAAAGATTCGAGACTAGGAAAGTCCCCCTGTGTCATATTTGGGATGTTCTGATTCCATATTTCGTATCGTTTCAGACTGGGTGGCAAAGGTTTTTGAATGGAGTGGAAAGAAGCTTTGAAGCAAATGAGTATCGTAGTATCGTCCGTAAAGTTCCCTTCGTACGTGTCCATCTTTGTCGAACAACAACATTCCAGGTTCGGGTAGGAGGCTGTGTGGCCTGCTCCGCTCCATGTCAAAAATACGACCAAACCAAGCAGACTGGAGTGCGCCATCTCAGAGTCACGGCATATAAAGACGGCGAAGTTAAGTCTTCGGCTAGATCTTAAGACACTCACCTACAGAGTCAAGAAAGGGACGAGACCTCTTCTGCCATGTGCTGATACTGTCCATGTCCATATCGTACTGATCTTCCGTACATCCGGGCTAAGCAGACATGGCTTGGAGCCCAGAAAATTGGGCCTCCTCCCTGTTTAGTTTCCTCTATAGCTTGATTTTCTGGAGCACTTTTTCCACAGCGTTTCCCCAGCCAGAAATGAACTCTAATGAAAATACCAGCTCGCACTCACATGGAGTGTATTCATAACAATAATCATGACTTACGAAGAACTAGCAAGTTTTTCCTGCTAAGATGAATATTCATACCAAAGGCTCGCATTGGTGTGATTTTTATACTAAGGAAGTCAACGTAGCAAGGCGACGCCGCCATTGTAAATCAACACGTACGCATAAGACATAGTTGATATAGTCATCCGTATTTGTTTCAAGTTGTGTGTAACTGTGTTAATGTTGTTTTGACACTCCAACAAGACTGGTTTCCCTGTCCCCGAATAACACACCAACAAGACTGTTGCCCCTGTCTCTGGTGCTGAATGACACACGAACAAGCCTGGTGTCCCTGTCCTTGGTGCTGAATAACACACGAACAAGCCTGGTGTCCCTGTCCTTGGTGCTGAATAACACACTAACAAGACTGGTATCCCTGGTGCTGAATGACACACCAACAAGCCTGGTGTCCCTGTCCTTGGTGCTGAATGACACACCAACAAGCCTGGTGTCCCTGTCCTTGGTGCTGAATAACACACTAACAAGACTGGTATCCCTGGTGCTGAATGACACACCAACAAGACTGTTGTCCCTGTCCTTGGTGCTGAATGACACACCAACAAAACTGTTGTCCCTGTCCTTGGTGCTGAATGACACACCAGCAAGATTAGTGTCCCTGTCCCTGAATGACACACCTACAAGACTGTCCTAGGTAACTAATAAGTGGCACACCAACAAATTCTGAAAGAAACAACATGTTGCAGAATGGTATTTAATTCATAAAATAATCAAGGAAAAACTCCCATAAAGTTCATGATGCTTAAACTGTGCTATAGCTGATCCTACTAAGATACATTAGTCTATTGGCTAATTTTATACATGATTGCTATAGACTATATTTTGACAACCTCACCACAAGAATACCATATTTCGTTCAATAAAATAAATATCATGTTTCACAGTTGGCAAACACTGTGGCTACTAGATAGTAAAGTTTGGGACATTTAAAATATAAAGTATTACAAATCTTAAGTGTAAATTTTGGAGGCTGAGAAAAAAAGCCTTCCCGTGATACAAAGGAGCCAGAATGTGACATGAAAAATCACATTACCACAGGACAACGGGTATTATTCACAAGTACCAGTTCTTGTATCTGCCATCTTGCAACAATGAAAACATCCCATATTTGCAGACTTTCCCTTTTGTTGATTTCAGCAATTTGAGGCAAAGCGGTAACTTCAAGAGGTAGGATAGAAGTAGCCAGACACTAAACTGATAGTCAACAACTCACTTTTTAAGATTCCTCTTTTCAATTGAATTGTATTAAATAATAATGTGTACTGTATCTTATTGAGTTACTGCAATATTCCACATTGTCTATAATGTGTGGAGAGTGTGAAAGTTTGTAATTGACATGGACTGACATGTGTTCCACTAAATACTATAAATTATTGTGAAGTATGCTCCTAAACAAAATGTTTCAATCTCAAAGGTGGGCTTCTTATTCATAATTTTTACACATGGAAAACACCAAAAATTTGTGAGCAATGATCACAATAATGTAACGAAAACATGATCCGTATTTCGGTCAATGAGCTGGAATAAAAATACCTTTTTTGGAATCGCTTCCTGAGTGACATTTTAAACTTTGCTTGAATCATCAACAGAAATGAAAAAATTCAATAAACTGTAAAATCAAAAGTAAAAACTGCACATTTGAATTACTTTCCAACTGCCAATTTCTTCCCAAAGTGGACGAAAATATGAGGGAATACAAGAATCACCAATAGTGGAGCAAAAACTTTCAATTGCACAGAATGGTACAACAAACATCCAGAGGCCACAGCCACAGTACAAACTTTTCATGTTTTTACCTGCACGTTTTATATTATTCAAAAACTTAAATTTTTAAAAATTTTTGGTGACATCACTGATTATCAAACCATCATTTCTGGCAAGAAATATATATTGCAGTACTGCAACACACTGCAAGGTGTCTCTTCTCCTTAGGCTGAGGATTCCTTGTAGTGTTTGAGTGTGCGAGCAGAGGGGTCGTTGGTCTTGCTCCACCGCGGCATCCAGTAGTAAGGGATCCACTTGGACTTGCTGGGGAAGTGTTTCTCAAAGATCTGGCGGAAGTAGTAAGCCTCCTTGGTACGTGGAGGGTTAAACGGGAAGGTCTTGGGGGCATCTTCCATCATCTGGTCATTGATCTGTGAGGAAAGGACGAAGAAGAACTTTATTTCCAACTGGCCATCAAGATTCCTAGTATTTTATCATCAAAAACGTTTTTGGCCACACTCTTGAAAATGATGCGGTGGCTATAGATTTGGCCATTTTGAAGACCCAAACAGTACAAGTTGGTTGGCTTAGCAAGTGCCTTAATGCTTACGTATATGGAGAAAGAATCAGGACTGAAAAAAAGCGATCATTATGGCCAGATTGCCATCTTATAGAGGTGGTTGCCTGGGCAAGTTTGACTGTACTACACTTTCCTTACCTGACTTAATGCCACATGTACAATTGACAAAAGACAGCAAGCTTTTTCGAAAGCTTTTCTCACCTGCTCTTCCACGTACTCCTGGAGGGTTTCGTACCACGATTTCTTCACCGACGACACACCGTCGCTGAAGGCCTCTTTTGGGCGCCACAAGATCTCATCGGGCAGGAGGCCCGTTCCGTCAAACGCCTTGCGCAGGGTGTACTTCTCGATCCCGTCCTTGGCTCGCCTGACCTCGGCTGGCAGGGACAGGTAGTAGCCGGTGAACATGTGGTCCAGGAAGGGCACACGCAGCTCCAGGCTGGAACAACAAATCAGAGATTTCAGACTGTATGCATTCAGTACTGTATGCAATTCTCGGCTTCCTGAATTCCCTCTTCTTGATCTAATTCCTGCTGGCTCCTGGCCATGCCAGATTTTGAGACCTTTGAACTCATGTGATTCTGTGTGTCAATCTTCCCCCAACCAAAGTGCTGTCAACCTACTCTGTCCAGACAACACAAACCAACAACTCAGCCACCCAATACAGCAATACAAGTTAGCAGAACTCCTCTTGAAATAAGAGTCTAAGAGATTGGTATATTATTTCTGATTGGTCACTTGTGACCTCTGACCTACCCATGAGCACTTGTTGTTCTGTCCCCCCTCAAGACGTCATACATGTACAGGTCACCTAGTAACCGCCGGCTCTCCGCATCCGCCTCCTCTGCAGACGGAGCCTGGAGATGTAAAAACACTTCATTAACAGGTCATAATCTATATTCAATAGCAGATCTTTACACTCAATAGCAGGTTAACTTATTTCTCTTTTTTCAAGTCTTTGGATGAAACTGCCCAAATAAGATCAATCACATGTGATGTCCAACATAAGGCACATAAATGTAACTGGTGTGGCATTAGCGATGTTTAAGGCTATGGTAATTACATTACATTAATTGTACAAATTGTACAATCCACACATAGATTCAGGATATAAAGTACCGATACGTGTGAAAACAACATGACCAGGGTAAAAACACACCTACCTTGTTGAAGTAGATGTATCCTTGAGCGAGCTCATCAGATCCCTCCCCGGAGAAAATGACGACAGAGTCTGTCTTGGTGCGGATGTACTGGGACACCAGGTACATACCTGGAACAGACAGCCAACATTTACCTCCACAACCCAAAGGGAGCCTGGGTGATTGCTTGGCTAAAATATACAAGCCTCTAGCAGCCCTTCTACTGATGGGCCTCTAGAAGCTTGATGGCCAATCCCTTTTGGGTATTGTCAGACATTTTTCAAAGTTTGAGTCATCAGGAGAATCAGAAATATTTTAATCCTGTTGATTATGCATATGTTCTAACATGAAACAATTATTGTCAGACTGAAAAATGTCTGTCAATAATAATATAACACTAGTTGGAGGCTGTGATGACTGATTTTCATCGTGGTAAAGAATTCTGGGCTCCTATTGGTAGTCCTGGGTCCAATGAGCCAATAAGAATCACAGACAAGTGAGAGCTGCAGTACTACTGACCTACAGATGCCCGGATGGTGGTGATGTCATAACTCTAACATGATAGACTTGTTGTCAGACTGAGAACTGTCTGTTAATATATAGTGTTGGAGACTGTACTGACTAGTTTTCACAGTGGTAAAGAATCCTATTGGTAGTTCTGGGTCCAATAAGCCAATCATGATCACAGACAAGTGAGAGCTGCAGTAGTACTGACCTACAGATGCCCGGATGGTGGTGATGTCATAGCTCTCCAGACTGTAGATGACATCCTCGATGGCCTGGATCCCCTCCTCTGGGGTGAAGGACACTTCGTGGTGCTCACTGCCAATGTACTTCGCAACCTGGAAAATATACAATGAATATTAAAAACCAAAAATGCATCACTGATCAGTCTCTGGAAATTCTGTAGGGTAGATATATTCAAAAGGTGACCAAGGACAGGCCCAGGTGGAAAGAAAAAGTCATGGCCTTATATTCTGCAAGGGATAAGGAGGATAAGTAACTAAGTACGATACATTTAGGATCTGTACTCACTGGTGTGGAGACTATGAAGAGTTGTTCTAGAATACTGTTCTCAAAATGTATGACCAACTTTTACAGAATCAACAAGTAAAAAATCTACCAGTATCTGCAGGCATAGATGCATGTTGTTGATATAGTTTTCTAATCTAGACACTTAAAAGGATGCAGGATAGTAAAATCCATCCATTGTAACATTCACTTGAAAACATGTTTGACTCTAAACAGCATACATGCAGGGCCAGTCTTTTTGGAAAGGAAGCAACTTAGAACATACGAAAGCTACTGGTAAAAAGGCTGGCATCCAGGCTAAACAAAAGGTAAGATAAAGAATAAGAAATCCATCCCTACCGTCCTGGCAGCCTCCACATCAGGACTGCCCTCCATCCCGATGGCATAAGTCTGGACGGGGTAGATGATGCCAGACTTCTTAGCATGCTTCAGCAGGAGTGCAGAGATCAGACTGGAGTCCAGACCACCTGGTTAGCAGACAATGAGTAAAAACATGAAGTTTAGAGCTTTATCAAATCAAATTTAAGATGGAGGTACAATCATTTTAATGGCCTTTCAGGAGCAAATATACAAATGTAGCAAGCTGCCCTAATGACTGTCATACATTATATGTTCGTTTCCATGTCCTGGTCAGTGGGGCAATCTCTACATTGTAGTCAGCCCTTTGTAACAGCTGACGGCCTGTTAAGCAGCCCTGGCTTCAAGTAAATTATAGCAGTCAAAAAATAAAAATCAGTCTACCTGATAGCAAGCAGCCGATCCGACGACCACCAATCAGTCGTTTCTTCACTGCCCCCTCTAACAGACCTCGGATGTTAGCATAAATGTCGTTCTCCTCTGGAAAACAACAACAACCATAGTCAAGACTTAGTAAAGTTGACCACAGCAATAACCTAGTGGGTACAGCATATGCTTTGCAGGATCTCTAAAGCTCTCTAAAACCAAATTTACCCTTCAGCCGGCTAAGGTAGCTGGTTGGCACCAAATTTGGGAAAAGAATACCAAGATTGCAAGAAGTCCAACCTTACCCTGTGGCTTGACGAGAGCATCGTACTTGGGCATGTCTCCGATCTTGTGGAACCTGGCACATTCCCTCAGGGTGACCTTGCCGTTGGGACTAAGGTCGTATGACGCAAAGTGACCAGGTGGGAAGGGTTCAATGTCAACCTCGTGATCATCATGGCCATGGCTCAACCCCATCAACCCTGTAGTCAAAAAAACAAACATTTATTAATTGAGGTATTATATAGTAGGCATTCGTCGGTCTTCAAAGACCATAAAGTAGGGTAGGGAAGTATTTTTTGGGAGGCTGAGCTGTGGGTTTGTGCATCTGTTTGTGTGGAAAGAGAACTAGTAGATTGACAGCATGTGGGTAGAAGATTGACAGGCAGAATGACAGGATGGCAAAAGGTTTGACTCGGGAAATGGGGAGAATGTGAAGTCTCAGAATCTGTCCAGGAGCCAGCAGGAATCAGTGGGGGAACGGAGGATCGCATACTTTCTGGAAGTCTGAAATGTCTGATTTCTTGTCTAGTTATGTTTTACATGGCAAGCGTTTGTTTTACATAGACCACAAACTCCCCAACAACTAACACTTTTATTACAAAAGGCACTCACCCTTAGCCTCCGAGCAGACGGCCAGAAAGCCATCATCCTTCAGCAGGCGGAACATGGGACGCACTCCGTAGGTATCACGCCCAAGGTACACCTGGAACAGAAGCATACAAACACTGAATAAAACCAAGATGGCTGAACATTATGGTGACGTTCTACAACACATCATAGCGCATAACAGGATTGACAGGCATAATAGGAACTGATACTCTCCATAAATGTTCGTTCGTCCCTCCATAAATCGCATAAGCTCAAAATACCCCCTGTATTACTAATGTATATGCAGGTCTGTGTAGGTTTTTTGTAGGTGTGGAGGTTGTCACCAATATGAAAATTTTATGTCCTGATAATAGTTACCGGGTACTGTGCTTTTAATACAGTTTCTAATTGGCCTTAATACTCTTAAAACTTGCGTGCAAGATTTGAAAACTACCCACCCTCTTCTGCTGTGTGTCCAGGAGAATAAAAGCGAAGACTCCGTCCAGGTGTTTGGCAGCGAACTCGATCCCACCGTGCATGTAGAGACTGATGATGGCCTCACCGTCACAGTCTGTCTCATAGTTGAACCCAAACTGCTCAGCTACCTGTGATATTATATTATAGATGATCAGAAAAGACCAGGTGATCAGACATGGCAGACTTTGCCCCCTTACCCATACTGCCGTGCAGTACTTCTTGTGTGGAAGACAGAAAGGGCAGCATTGAGGGATGTATGGCAATGCTGTGTTGTGTGATTTGCAACTGCAGGAACACACACACACAAACAAGCCACAAATGACAGTTCATAGTTAAAAGGTTCATTTCCTTGGCATCAAGGCAGAGGTATGTTCTTTTAAAATTTAACCTCCTTACCTTGGGTACAGTAAAAAAAAAAACAAGGGACATCACAGAGAAAAAGCAGCCAAAAACTGCACTCACCCTTCTGTAGTTGTAGATTTCTCCGTTGTAGCACAGCCATATTTGGGGATATCTGTGGACTCTCATTGGCTGCATGCCGTAGATGTCGCCCACGATGGCCAATCGGTGGAAGCCGAAGCAGCAGTTCTTGAAGTGGTTGATGTTCTCGAGACGGAAACAGTCGGGCCCGCGGTGTCCGATCCTGAGCGCGCTGGCGCACTGCTTGGACACATCCTCATCACTGCCGAATATCGCCCATATACCACACATGTTGCACCTACAGAGTGAAGGTAGAAATCTAGTCAACGTCATACATTCAAATACAGTCAAAATTGTTTGAGACAACCCAGGGGACTGAGGAAAAGCAGTCTTAATAGACAAGTAGTCTTCTTACACAAAAACTAAAGCATGGCGTGAAAACGAAACCTTTGCTTACAATAAATGTAACGGTTAACCTTATTCTCAGTTTACAGAAAAAATTGCATGCCCCATCCTTTTAAATTTAGATACATGTTAATAAATTATCAATGTCACTGAGTTTTTGTAACCACATGTAGAGTGGCATGTCAGGAATTAGGCCAACAAAGGCAACGCCCTCCATTTACCCCCATTCCCACCCTTGGGACACAACATTGAAATATGCATAGAATTTCTTTCATCTTTTGTAACTGTTAATTAAAATGTTTGATTCTCAGCCTAGAGAACTAACTACCAATAACCTATTAACTATCATTAAATGTCATTAACTATTGAATGATGCAATAAGACAAGCTGATGCAACAGTCGGGGTCAGCCAGGGGGCGGGGTCACCAGTAGAACCAGGGCGTGTCAATCAAACTGCTGCTGGAACTGACCTAGCTATGAACCCATAGACTTTACCCACAGACCTTTATCCTACTTCTATGAAGGGATAAGAGGCTCAAGTCTTAACATATCTGTTGTCGGAAAAATAGAAAATTCAGGTTCAAATCGTGCGATTGTGCACCCCTACTGTGACCACGTGTATAGAGAAGTCTTGCTGGACCAAAATAGACCCGGCCGGACATACGTTGTTTTTGTTAGATCGGACGATAGGAAACGTTCAGTTACATCAGCAATATCGTGTCTTATAAACGGGATGTAGATGGTTAAAATCAAACAGTCAAAATTGGACAAAGCTTGTTGTTCACGCTAATGTTTACCAACATGCACTACCCAAAACAAAACAACATCTGTAAATTTGTGGACGTGCGATTGTATTCTTCGAGAAAGGCAAAGAAAACTAATTGCAGTACTAGCAACATTAACGTTAGATAAGTAGGTACATTCTGTTACTTGAACACATATTTTACTAGTAGTTCAGGACAGAAAATTGGGCAAAGCAACATGATGCAACCACACATGCCACATCGGCACATGGCAACTGGCGAGTCCAAACTAGCTGAGAGATTTTACTGGGCCTCAGCACTCTAAACAAGAATATCTCATGCCTAAACTACATCTTTATAATTTTGATAGGATATATTAAAATAGCGTAAAAATACCTGTGATCTTTGCGTTGAAGACAGTAAACGAGAAAACGCCTCCAGAAAAGAACCCTTCTGTCTGTGAAAAGTAGATCAACAAGAGATCTACATACAGGCCACGCTACCGTCTTCCTGATCGGGAATTTAATCCAGTAGCCAATCAGATTCCCGGAATAATAATTACTCCAGCTTCCAGCCAATCAGCGGTCGCAGAAATTGGGGCCTGGCATATCAGCCCCTGTACACGTGATTTGGACCGATCCACTGTAATGTAGGGGTGATGAAAGTAATTTGCGTCAGGCAGTACTTTCACTACTCTCCAAGCAGAGGTTGGTGGGGGAAGATCGTCACCGTTTTATATATGCCTCGTTTTTCACTGACCCAAATAACTTTACAAGTATCACTTTTGTTAGATGGATAGAAAATCTCAAAATTTTATTTTGTACCTTGATTTCTTTCAAGTTGAACTCACTCGACCAACAGCGTAAATGTTTCTGCTAAGGCTTCGTCAATGACAATGTAATGGCCAGTGGGCAGGGTATGATATGGGGTTGAGATAGGCACAAATTACTAGTACTAAAAGTACCATTTGAAAGGACAATAAGACTTGTGTGCATGTATTAAATTCCATCAAGGTCATTATACACAGTCCTTGATTCCATGTTTATTAATAGCAGGAAAATCAGTTACAAAGAAATGCTTATGCTTGTAACTGTTAACGTTATATATAACACTTGTTGGTGCATCAGTTCAAAGCATCAAAACATAATGTAACACATAACATTACATATCTCTGAATTGGCAAATAACAAATCAATTGAGATCCTAGATTTAAGGTATGAAAACTTGCTACCTACTACTCCAGGTCATAAAATATTCATGGTCAAATAATGATTGTTATTACCGTCCTTATAAAGGCTTTGCATTTACAGTCAAACCTGCCCATGCGACCACCTTGTCAAGACGACCTACTGGCCAAATAGACCGGTTTTCTCCGGTCCCGAAAATATTTTCCCATAGGCACAAGCATTAAGCACTCTGCCCAAGTAGACCACCTTCCTGACGCGACCGCGGCCAGCTCGAGTCGGGACCACGCGCGACCAAAACCTTCCCATGACGACCCCATCATTTTTAAAAGTGTGTCTATATCGATTTTTGATAAAAACTTGCGGGGATTTATGGGGAGAATCGGCCTGTTTACGTTGTGTTTTGCCCGGCCGAGCGATTCAAGATGGCGCCGGGGTCACCATGTTGGGTCATTGGAACAGACTACTGTAATATGGGTGAAAACTTGACGTGCGGTTTGATTCTACTGTACAATCTACCGTACAAAATGTAAATATATTTGTCGCCGACAATGTTTGAATAAAACAAAATGATATTTACTAATATTGACTTGAGGGCGTAAAGTTTTTGGAGTTTAAGGTGTTTTTATTCTTTATTCAACTAGCTGCTCACCCATGATGCTGGTGAAATATCCCAAGTGGAGAATCTTGTAAACAAGTCACACAAGCTTCGAGAAAGATCGGTACCAAAGAAGCGTCTCGGAAAATTACAAACGTCGGGACGTCATAATTAACTTGAAGAAAAAGTCTGGTCGACAACTGGTCTGGTGAACGATTCATACAGACCGTGGGGATTTTAACAATTTCAAGCCGCTGCATGCTGGGTTGCACGCCATGCCGCTGCACGCCGCTGCATGTGCAGGGCCGCAGACGAGCTTTAAGTTTAATACAGCGAAGCCCGGCGTCTTCGCCCTAGGATGGGAGCGTAATGGAATCCAGGGTGACATCGAGAAAGTTCTACAGACACTGTAGCCTTTAACAGTAACGTTCAATTGTATTTTTTGCCGTAAAAGTTGACTCGCAAAAATGTGACGCCATTTTCTTTCACTACGCCTGGTTCCCAAATTTCCGATTCGTCTTAGTCGTAGCACGTGCTAGCACGCTACTGGGGCTTTTACATTTTCAGTAGTACAAATGACGGTAAACTTTTGATTGTATTTCAACCTCGGAATTAAGCAGATTTATGCCTCATTTCTCGTAATTTGTAACTCGTTTGTGAAGTTGGCCGCCGGGGCGCCATTTTGATTGTTGTTGTCTGCACGCTTGGGTGACGCAGAATTTTGTAACTCGTCTCATTGTTTTCGAAAAAGTCCCGTAGTAGCACAAAATGAACGCCTTATCGTTTCTGTTAAAACCTCTAAATCGTAATGTAGGCTAAATTTTATAAACACCCAAGTGTAGATACTAGTAAAATAAGCTGTGAAATTTCAAAGCTTTTTACTGTGGTACATGATTGTATAAAAATCAAATACATGTAACTATGCAATAAATATTTTATTTCTGGAAGTACATCAGTGTTTTGCTTGTTCATGTGTCAACCACTAGTACTATACTTTTGTGTGCATGTTGTAGTCAAGAAAGGATGAGTAAAAATATACATGTACTAAAGTACTTTGATGATGATGCAATAATGGTTTATAATACATAATACTAGTAATATGATAATACTTGTAAACTGCCATATCTTTGTGATGTCTTGGTCGTTGGTCTGATTTTCTTCAAATAGACCACCTGCTCAAGTAGGCCAAATTTGAGTGGTCCCCTGGGTGGTCTACTTGGCCAGGTTTGACTGTACAATGTTATACCATGGAGCTATAATAGCACAAGTATCAGTTTTCACAAAACTAGTTTCAGTCAATGCACCAGGTTACAAGGGGGCCCGCAAGCCCTTTTCCGTAGAGCGTAATCGGCCGTTTTAATTCTACGTAGAGCGTAGGCGGACTGCTCTAATATTTTTGTGTAGAGCGTATCCGGCATTTTAAATTCTACGTAATGCGTTGTAGCCACTTGGAATTTATCGTAAAGCGTAATCGAGAGGTTTCCGAATTCAGCGTAGAGCGTTGTCGGGACCCCCCCTTGCAGGCCCTCTTACAAGGCCAGTCCCTCCATAACTTGGTGTGCCTGCTTCAGTTCGCTCAGAAACAACCTGAACTTGTCGGCTGTCATGGTGAAGGAATGTGGCACCACGTTTCCCGTGTCCGGGTTTCGAACCCTTAACCTTAGCTGGACCATCGGTTCCTGCACATCCTGCAGTTCGCTCGAACTCAAGATGTAGTCCACCCTCCACTCTGCAGACTCAAGTTGGGAAAGTTTGAGACTTTGTCGCATGAACTGTGCCTGTAGGTTGCCCAGGTTGTCCGCGTAGGTCTTGCAAAGCGAGCTGGAATGCTCCTTCGGTAGACCAAGCTGTTGCAGCTCGTTGCTCAAAGAGTCGCCGTCAACTTGGTACTTAGCTGCACTGCACAAGATGAAAGACAGTGCAGCAATGCTGGCTTTCACATCCCCTGCCTCATACTTTGCATCTGCAGTCAGCTTGTGGACTTTGTCATAGTCTATGGACTGTCCCAACAGATCTTTGACCACTTGGACACAAAGGAGCTTCATTTTCACAGAGGTGAGTTTGGAGAGGATGCTGATTTCGGCCAGGACCCAGTCTGGACAGTCCAGATCCCCACAGAATCGGAACCTCATCCTGAATGGTGAAGTTTTGGCGCTTTTTCTTCAGAAGATGTCTTGGAGACTTTTTGTGTGCATGCAGTTCAGATCAGGAAGTCACCACTGCAATCATGTGATGTCGACCTGACCATTACAAATTCGGTACGTGTAAAAACTAATGCTTTTATTCAAAACCACTTTATAGCATAGTAAATCATACCACAATTTGTTAGAAATAATTGCTTTATTTATTTATTACCTATTTGATTCCTTTTAGTTCTCGAATATTATAGAAATTACTGAATGTTATTCACTAAATGTCACCCCCAAAATAAAGAGTAGAATCTTCCAACCTGGGCGCTAGTGCGCTTGCTCAGTACACGCGGCCAATATGGCGGATGGATTGAAAAAAGTTTGACGCGTTGATTATTTTCGTGGTTTTTAAGCGGATTTCCAGGTAAAATTTACGGTATATTCAGCATTTTGTGATAGCAGAAGCAAGACTGGCCTAGCCTGATCAGGCACACGTAAAATGTTGTGAAATTTTCTTTAAGAATGCTTGTTAAATGATCAATATTCATTCGAAAATATTGGACTTTTATTTCTACCTGTTTGCATATATTTTACTGGTTCAATTTCATTACTTTATCTGCTAAATATCTTCGCGATTTTAGCTTTAATATCTTGATATTGATGGTTCTAAGCTAAGTATGATTATTCGTCAGCTTGCGATCCAACGCTTTTCTTTTGTTTGGTTGTTGTCTGAAAGAGGGGCGTGGCTTTCCTCTGCTTTGTTTTCACCAGATCAAAATTACAAAAGACAACAATGAATGCAATATTTGAATTGCTTTTGATGGAAATTCCTTGTTCAACAATGTTGCATAAGCTAGCTAAAGATTAGCGTTGTTCCCCATGACCGTTTGTACATGTAATTGCAAACTATACTAGTACAGTGTAGTTATCTGAACTTGGTAGTATCATATTCATAATTTTGTCCTTGTAGAACAACGATCAGGATAACATAGGCCATATATAAGGGTTAATAATTCACTGATTACTCAATACTTATTATTATCATTATTTGATAATTATTTACTTAATAATTAAGACTGATTTTTACCCTTCTCCTTTAGGTAGTGTAGCATCCTGTCCTCTGTTTGGGTCTGTTTTTACCGAAAACGATGGTGATCTCAGCAACAATATACCGGTGGCGAGATGGCCTTCCCCTCTCTGCTTCTACAGACTTCGACCCCAGCCCAGACCTGCAAAACTGCAAGAAAACGGCCAAGATTCTGTCCAAGAAGCTCCATCAGTTTCCAGACAGGTGCACAGCAAAGATAGATGGTTACTGTATATAGTAAGTATGAACTTTTGGAATCTTTGTTGTTTTCAGGGAGTGTTTCAGTTCTGTAGAAACTAAGCCTGACTACATCATGATTCTACCAGCCCTTCCACTGGTCAGGCCCCTAGGAGGAGGGGGTCCAATCAGCCCCCCGATAGCAAGAGATTGTATACTAACCGTGGCTATGTAACGTTAGAAACAGTCCTGGGAACATACAGCTGAATATACAAGCATTAAAGTAAACATGCTGTAAAACAATGCTGTACTCATGTACTGTAGTGTGTCTTATAAGTGTAAGTATTGTAAATTGAAAATGTGAAACTTGAACCCAATTCAACTTAGTTTTCTTTGTTTCACAACTGTAAGAAAACTGTTGAATTAACTTTCATGAACTTGAAGTATGTTGAATTGACTTACCAACCAGACGAAACTACTACATGTACTCCAAAAAGCAGTTACACAAGCTAAAAAGAAACTACATGCATTTAACAGATGTTGAACTTGACTTTTCTGTTTCCCAGCTTCATCTCGTCACCCACGGTGACATACTTGACCTTGTGTCACCACGACTACCCCGCTGTGCTGGCCTTCTGTTTCCTGGACGAGCTACAGAAGGAGTTCATCGTGACCTATGACCCTGAGAAAGTGGAGAAGGCCGTTAGACCATTCTCCTTCATCGAGTTTGGTGAGTCTATGAGGCCTTGGTGTAACCTCATCAATATGAATGAATTTTATTGGGTGAACAGTCCATTTAACTGTCACTGTAAATAGCTTTTGAAAAACCTCTTTCATAGATATTAGAAGGCATAACCACACACGATTACACAAACATTTACACGCATTTTGCGTGAGAAGTGAACGTGATTTACATCAGAGGTGCGCAGCTTTTGCACAGCTTTTGTACACATTGTAATTGACAAATGCATGGCTTTAAATTGCATTTTGCACAACAACCTTTTGCACGCATGCAGATAGGAAGATAATCAAGATCTGTACTGTAGCTGCTTCTAACGATATTTCAACATCCTCTCAATGCAGACAACAGTATACAGAAGACGAAGCAGAGGTACAACAACCCCAGAACCCTGACCACCAGGATGAACCTGACAGCCATGAGTCAGGAGGTGAAGTTGAGACCTCCCCACCACATCCACCCTGCAGAACTGGGGCCATTTGTACCTGACACACCTCCACAACACAACCATGTACACAAGCACAACGGTAGGTGTCACTGTCAGTGCTAGGGCTGTGTACCGGTATGCAATACCGCCACCGATACTGTACCAAACAAATTGATTAGGTACTGGTCCAAAATACCTATTCCCTCAGTACTGGGGACTGTACCTGTATGGAGTTTCATTAATTTTATGCTTATTTGTGGCCTAAAAAGGGTCCCAGAGACAGGAGAGTGTGTTCTTGTTTCAGACTGACAGTGTTAAGTTAACCCTGAAAGACCTGTTGTATATTAGGTATACTTTCCATCCTAATTTTTCATCAGGTTGGTAGAACCTAGGATATTGGAGTTTTAAAGTGTCAGATGTTAAAGACACTAGAACATTTAGGTGTTATAGGGCTAAAGAATTTTAACATACTTGGACTTTGTTATTGACTGACCCCAACTGTCAATCATAATTAGCAGCTCAGCCAATGAGGTTTGAAGATTGAGTTTTCTACATTCACTCTTCCCAGGCCCCAGAAGAAGGCTGATGCCGATTGGCTGGCTGGGGTTCCTGTCCCTGGTGCTGAACATCCTGTGTGGAGCCCTCAACCTGGCCAGGGGTATTCACATCATCAATGATGTGGACGTGAGTTTGCTAATTAACTCATCAGGTTAATTAACTAGCTTTTAAGTTGCATCTGACTAAATGAATGACACAATGAATGAAACTTTGGGAGCATTTACTGTAAAGTTGTGCTGTGTTTCATATAACAATGTCTACTAGTACTACGTTGAAAAGACATAAGAGTATTTTTGTATCACATGGTTCATACGTTTTGTATAATTCTTCTCTTCCTCCACAGAATGTCAGTGATTATGACAACTACGCAATAGCCAACTTTTGGATAGCATGTGGACTGTGTTTCATACAGGTAAGGGCTGGTCATTTACTTTCATCAAAAGTAGACATCTTTGTGAATCCTTTATTGAAGATGGCCTAGATTCAACTCTGAATCTGTGGTTGTCATTTAAGTGTCTGTAATGTAACAGATTACGACATCAGGGCTCAAAATACATGTACCACCTATGCATACGCAGGTTAGTGCAGGTGAAATTGGAGCTGTGCAGGTATTTCTGATCTTTACCTGCACCTAACCTGCACTGGTCCATGTAACAATAGGTGTATGTGATTTTGATTGCTGCATTGACCATTACCACCTATGAAGTACAAAGAAATAATGGCAATGGTTTCTGAACACTGTGATCTACAGTTTCTAAATTTGAGTGGTGTAGGTAAAAGTTATCTGGTGCAGGTAATCATACCTGCACCAGTGTAGGTATGCAGAAAAGCATTTCAAGCCCTGAACATTGTAGCTCCAGAAGCAACATAAGAAAATACAGTACCTTCAATCATGATTTGATTTTCAATCCTCCTGCAGTGCTACCTGCTGTTGTTCAACATGGTCTGGCGGAACATCGCAGCCTTCTTGTCGTGTGTTGGTGTGTTCCTGTGTAACCTACAGCTGATGGAACTACGGAACATGTACCAGATAGCGTTCCACGTGGCCGTGTCTGTCTTTGCAGTGTCACAGATAATGTTGAGAAAAACACGAGAAAAACCACCGGACTATGATGTGTAGAAATGGGAATTTTATACATAGTTTTTATCCCTATGAAACTTAAATGTATTGTTTGTCCTTTTTGAAATCAATTTTAAGTGAAGCTTTATTCGAATTATGGTATTTAGGGACAGAAACTTTTTTTTCAGTTAGTTATAGAATCCTCTCTATACTTTCTTTTGTAAAACATTCCCTTTTTAGAATACATGTAACGTTAACATCACATGTATTACCTGTAATCTAAAGATGATTTCCCTTTTAGTTTATTCTCTCCCAAACTTTTTTCATACTGTTCATTTTTGCAATCATCATCAAAATTATATCATGTGGTCGTGTAGGGATCAAGTCAACATACTGTATATAACTGTTAACATTGTACAGTAGTTTGGTGACCATGGTGAGTTAGTGTGTAAGTCTGTAGTCTTAGTAAAGTTAACGTTAGATGTTGAAATCAAGAAACCAAAATTTTGCAACTTGCAATCATGTCATCCTGGAGAATATTTTGGATGGTGAAATTTTAACTAATATTTTGTAAGGCTTTTTAAAACATGATACCATATGTAAAAAGATCCTTATTTGCTGTACAGATATATTTATTTTTGCTATAATTTTATAAAAATGTGCATTGTTATGAAAGAATTCAGAAGAGTGTTGACAGCTTTGAGAATCTCGGTAGTAAGAACTTGTAACCAAAGTATGATACATTGTAGCTTGTCAACATGCCTATCTTTATGTATCATCATTTTATAAGTTTCTAAATAATTTTCTCATGTCAAAAATGAAAGAAAAAAATAGAATATTCGTCAGTAAGTCTTATCAACTTGGTTGGTATTTTATGACGACTTGAACGTTAACGGACCCGTTACAGTTTTAACTTTTAGATTTGACAAATTTCTATATTATGTACTTGAGGTGTAATAAATATCCTGCTGCTGTTAGAGCTAGTACAGGACCCATTTGGCCAGATGTAACGCAGAAAAAATGAACATAAATTGAGGTATGACATGTCTACGAAGGCATTTCATAGTTGTTCACATTAGAATAAAACTATGAACATCTGCATTAGTGCGTGAGTTTCTTCTATTTCGCAGCATCAAAATATTGTTTGTGTGTGTTTAAGTAGCTTTAAAACCATACAGCATGATTCTCGGGTAAAATCAGTCAGATTTGCGAGCAGAAATTATCTGATAACCAAACAGAAAACTGCACTAAAAAGGCCAGTGACGACCAGGTTGTGCCATCACTTGGAGTGTACGATAATTTTGTAGGTAAGATTATATTATTCAGTATTGTTGAAGAAACTTTTAGACAACGATGTCCGACATACAAAAAGCTGAAGGTATTTCATATAATTCTGTTTTTATTTTATGAACCTCTTCAATTTTTTAAGAAAATAACTTTTTATTTATTGAATTATTTGTACTCCCCTTTTGACACAAATGGTACTGCCCACTGGTGCCGCCATCTTGGACGAAAGAAAAGTTTTGTCACTGCAGTTGCTGAACTGTCGTCAACAGGGTTTTGTGTCTAAGATTTACTTAAATCTGCCGAAAATCTTTCCGCAGAGGATATTCTACAGTCAAGATTAAGAAACTGTTCTGCATTTTCATCACAAACTTGTCTAATGCATTTCTTCAATGGTTAAAATCTCCGACTGTCGTCTGCAGACGAATTTTTTGGCGCGAAATAACATGCGCTGTTGAACAGAACACCGTGACATTTGGAGATCTCCGTGATTTCAGGCTTTACTCGATATTTTCAATCAAAAGACGAAGACATGGAGAATTCTACTGCTGGGAAAAGAAAACTGAGAAAACGTGCACAGAAACGGCCTTTGGGAGGTGAGTGACTTTTGCGTTGAATTCAGGTCTACATGTCATTGCTCAATATTTTATTGGTAACGTTATATTCAACCGTTATAAAGCGTTAACATGATGAAGTCATTTTGTCACCAGACAGAGATGCAGCAATATAAAGGCTTTAGAAAATGTCGTATTTTGTGTCTCACAGATAATGAAGAAAATGGCAGGTGTACGAAGAAAAGAACTGGCATTGACCCCAAAATCTTGCTCTACCTCTCCTGATGTGGAACAAGTAAAAGCAGGAAGACAAAAAGGAAGGCATCAACAAGAAACAACAAGAAAGTGTGCCGCGAGGAAAACGATGTTGAAATCACAAGGGAAAACACACAGGGTTTACAAAATATACCTAATGACAAAGAAAAGTTCACGATTAAGTATGACGCAGAGATTGACAAAAACTGCATTGATGGTAACATTTTATCTGACAAAATACAGACACCACCACTTCAGTGACCAACATCCAAAAATCGTCTTCTGTTCCAAAAAGGGGAAGAGTCTGCATCACCGTCTAACACCCAACAAACAAAGTACGTACCAAGGTTTGGTAAAAAGAGAAAGAGGGGGTTAGAGGAGATGCAGGCAGCTGATCCTAAAGAAGAGGAACAATCAGACTCGGCTACAAAATGTTGACACTGTTCCAACTTTACCAACTGATGACAACAATCTAGTGCAGAAACATGAAGATGTAGCAATGATATCAACAGTGGTTAGTGAGGAAAAGAAGACATCAGAAGATGGGGTAATGATAGAATCGACAGAAGTTGACACAGTGGAAACCATGTCAACTGAAGGTACCACATGTAACGTAACTGGTCTTAGCACCAGTCTAGAGCAGGAACAAAAAGACAAAGCCAACACTGGTAACATTATAGATGAAGAAAAAGATTCTGTGTCAGAAAGTATGATTGTAAATAGCACTGCAAGTACATGTGACACTTCCAATCAGCATGCAAGTGGAGATACTATTGTGCCAAGTACTGGGCAAACAAATGACAGTGAAACAGAAATTATGGTAACTGACACAGCACCAAGACAAGATGAAATCAAGACTGCCAAGGAAGACGAGGCTTGTTCTAACAACAATAAATGTGGAGACAGCATTATGTCAAGTACCGGACAAGCAAATAGGAGTGAACCAGAAACCACGGCAGTCATAAAACCACAAGAAGAAGATAACATTGCCATGGAAGAAGAAGCATGTTGTCTTCCTGACAATCTATCCTCTCAAAACAGCAAGCCACAAACAGTTGAAGGATTGGGTGATGACGTTTCAGTACCACTGACAGAACCTGGCAAGGAGAAAGTTGCCAAAGTAGAGCATGAAATGTGTTCTAGTCCAGTGGAAGAGGTGGCCAGAGATGTTCTGTCAACAATCATTGAGAAAATTGTCACTCAAGAGGCTGCAACCTGTAGCAGTTATAACTCGTCTACTCAAGTAACAGTGTCCACTGCGTCACAAGGGAAGGAAGAACAATCAGAGGGAAGGCCTGAAGGTGATAATAATGAGAAGAAAGTTGTGCAAAAAGCTGATGATTCAGATACTTGTGATGCACAAGTGACAACTCAAGAAACAGTGTCTGCCAAGTCACAAGGAAAGGAACAAGTAAGACCAGCGGGAGGAACTGGAACTGATACTATTAAGACCACAGATGGACAAACAGATGATGATCCAGCTGCATCTGCTTCTGATGCACAAGTAGCAACTCAAGAAGCAGTTTTTGCTGAGTTACATGGAGAGGAAGAAAGATCCAATGGAGGAGGTGATGATTGTGGGAAAAAGGTAGAGCAAAGGGATGGTGATAGTCCAGCTACAACCGCTTCTGTTGCACAACAAACAAGGAAAACAGATGAAGAAAGAACTGGCCAAAATTCCCTACAACAAAGTACAGGTATTATGGTGGTGAACAATACAAGTTTAATTTTTAATTTTTTTTTTGTAATCCTCAATGTATGTTCCATACTGATATATTCTGTTTTAGCAAGAATCATCAACTTTTTCTGTTTGTCCCATTTGTGGAGAATAAAAATGTTCAGTTTGATACAAGGCAAGGTAAGTTTAATGTGAAAGCATTCAATGACAGTTCTATTTCCTTCTCAGCCAATGAGCAGAAAGATTCCCACCTCACAAACAATTCCAGTGAGGACAAAACGAGTGAAGGCCTGGATCAGGAAGATTCACAGGTTAAACTTTTCTACTCATCATAAGATCAGATCAATATGAAAAGCATTTGATATGAAGAAGATTTGAAACTTATCACAGCTTAGACATTTAAGGCATTGCAAATGTTTCATACATTCACTGAGCAGCTACATGTACATACTATGAGACTTCATTTGCCAGTAACAAGTAACTTTTTTATGTGTGCTTATAATATTTTCAGAGTATGGCAGATGACTGTTGGTCCATTGTTAATTCCTGTATTGCTAAAACCTAATAAAGTATGCCTTTTCTTGTTCTTAGGGCCTGGATAACTTCATGGACTCCCTGTCCTCATCACAGCTGTACCAGATGGAACAGGAGGCACTCACCACAGCTCAACACATGTCAGTATATCAACCGTCTTCACTTAGAGTCATTTCACTGTTCCTAGTAACACACAAAATAACGTGGAAGAGGGAACATTTTACTGCATATGATACCAATGGAGTAGATGCTGGCACACAAAATGAAGGAGGTGGGGGACACTTTTCTGTACTGTATCCCAAGAGGACATAATGTTATGTCAAACAAAATTGAGATGATATCAGGCTAGTTAGAACACGGGTTTGATGACTTAGCTACAACTCAAATTGAAAGCTAAAGTGATTTTTTTTCCCATATATGTTTCTTCCAATATGCAGAAATGCTCTCCCAGCTAGACAGGCACCAGATGAAGGTGCAAGAAAGGCCATCCTGGGCCTGACCACTGATCTGGCTTGTCTCAACAGAAGCGTGATGTCCGTGTGGAGAGAATTCAACACAGTGCAAAAGAAGAGACTAGCTCGAAAGAAAGAACAGGCGGCCAAAGCATCTAGGCCTCCACCTAACGCTTTCCGCACTGATGGTATCACGTCACAATCTGTAAAGATTCCTCAACAGGGAAGTAACATTCACCACCAAGTCCTGCAGCAGAACCCAAGCCCAATGAAGATGGGAAAAGACAAAAAACAACCTTCATCAAGAGGTCCTCCTAATGTTTTGTCTACTGACAATATTAGGCGACAGCACGTACAGAGTGGACAACAGCAAAACCCCAATGTCATGAAGATAAGAAACGACAAGAAAGTTGCCTTCAACAAACTTGATCAGCAGAAGAAAATGGATCAGCATAAAATCAGACCAACGTCTTTACAATCCATGAAGAACCGTCAGCAGGGAAGACTGCTCCCAATGCCAAAGCCAGGGACTTCTTCCAAGAACCTGACAACGAGTAAGCTCCCTTTTCAGGGCACCACCTCACTGAGGCAACCAGGTGGCATATCAGGACTGTACCAACCCAACAGTTCTTCCAGGGGGTACCAGCATGTTCTGCCTAACGGAAAACCCCAGAATGGTTTAGCTTCAACTAAGGGGAGCTCTACCAATTCTTTCAACTTCACTCCAACTAAACCGGCACAGGCTGGCAGGTCTTTGAAAATGGTTGGACAGCAAGCAGCACCACCCAGCAGAATTGAAGGGAGTCACAATCTCATGTCTTGCCCTTCTGTAAACTATAGAACCTACGCCAGGTAGTTACGTAACCGTATATCCTGAAATGTTCACGTATGGTTTATATTTGCAAATTTTTGGTGAGATCTCACTGCAAACTCATCAGAGCACGAACATGGGCTTTGTGTTGAATAGTGTTGCGTTACTATGATTTCATTGTGTTTCAAGCCCATCTTCAAATCAAAAACACCATACCAATTTCCCTCCTACAGTACCGTACACCATAATCAAGTCCCCACATGTTTTATCTTTCATCAATCTACAGTATACTGGTAAGATTAGGTATAATATACTAGGATTTGGTAACCCCTATGTTCTCAATCTCTGGGATGCATGTTGTGCTTCCTCACTAGAATTTCAATTTTTAATCCTTAAATTAGAATTTCTTAATCCTCTTCAGCAGATGTTACATTTGCTTTATTGAACTTTATCTATTTGGATTGAGGACTTTGGATTTTGTTCATCCCCGTAGTCTTAATCTATGAGATGTATGTTGTGCATCCTCATTGGAATTTCTAATCTTGTTGTTATTCCTCTCTAGCAGATGTCACATTCGCTTTATTGACGTTACCTATTAGTATAGGCATAATGTTAGGTTGTCAATGTTCATAAGATAATATTTGAAAGGGCCTGGGCAATGATACAGAAATGTTTGAATGCAATTAAGGAAATTATTCTAAAGATTTTTCCATTGTCAAGTTAATGTTTCCTCATGATCGGGAACCTTTTGAGAATGTGAGGGGCTGTGTCAAAAGTTCTGAGACGATGAAGCTTGTCTTCGAAACAATGCATTGTCTATCTAAATGAATGCTAAATGTGAGTGCAAAATAATTCAAATATTTCTAATACACATGTATTCCCTTTTTACCCCCCTATGATGATACCATTTTGAAATTTACAATAGTTATCTGCACGTGTCCAGGTGCCATTTCTGATTGTTAGTTCCTTCACTGTTGGAAGTGATGTTTAAGGTTGTTTGACACATGGGATAGTCATTAGAGATAATTGCCTCATAGTTGGACGCCAGAGACTTTCAAATGTTGAGTTACATGTTTTCTGACGGTTCCTTCCTGTTCCTGTTTATCCAATATACCATGAACACCTGGAGATGCATCCGAAGTTTCAAATTCAATACATGTACTGATTTTCTGTTGAAGTTGTCACAAGTTGTGTGTGAATTTTCACGTTTAAAAGGCCTGGGGGAAAGGTCTGTGTGGGGTAACAATCGATCCCATTTGACAGAGATATGTATATAAAATAAAGGATGTTTATGCTATTCCTATGAGCTACATGTATGTATGTTTCTGTCCATGACTATTGTTTCCCCTGGTTGGTACCCCCGGTAAGTCACTAGTCATCATGGCAGGCCTACTACTATATGCAGCTCTCAAGATTTCAGAAGATCATTATTTTTTTGGAATATAGAAACTTGAATTCGCGGAGCGCCGCTGGTGTAGTGGTATCATGCAAGATTCCCATTCTTGCGACCCGGGTTCGATTCCCGGGCGGCGCATTTCTTTTCTCCTTCATGTGTATCCTTTATTTGTAGACGCATTTTGGACATTTTAGAACCCCACATTTTTTTCTAGTTGCGTGGGCAGCCTTTTTAAAGAAGCATCTCTTGTTCCTGCAAATGACTTTATCTTCTTATATAGTTGACGCCACTTTTAATACTACTGCAACCGCCGGAATGCGGAAAACATGTTGGAAAACGATTCTACAACGTTTTAATCACTCAGATGTCGGAACAAAACACACCCTTTTCTATCACAATTTTTTCACACCCACCAATGATGAATCTACCTTTCATTGCGTCCAAATTTCTTTGACGTCCGTTTCCTGGATATCTTTAATCAATTACTTGCAGAAACGACGGCCTCCGCTTGAGTCGAATCCATTTATCAAGCCCGCAGCCGATGGTCTTTCGGATGGTATTTACTATCTCGTTAGCGAGTGTTTTATAAACATTCACCTGTCAGAGACAGTGTTGGATGATTTATAGCACACCGTAATGAGTTTAGAGACTATCAAAGTTTGACATTTTCACTTATCGAATTACCCTTTATGTCTTACTGGTCTTTTGCCAAAAGTACGCGTGCCAAAAGTAAGCATTCTGCTTTGTCACAGTGTATCTACTAGAATTCTAATACCCTAGCTTGTGTCACATCTCATAGCGACTTCTTGACAACTCAAACTCTTCCGCTGGATAAATACGGACTCGGAGGTTTTCGAGACGATCTATCGTGCCTCATGTTTGAGATTTGAGAAGAAGAAAACAAATATTTGTTTATTTGAATTTACCACAAACAAATATACATTACTTGGCATGTAAGTAGAAGGGAGGGCAAAACAGGTGTATAGCCACCTTTACAAGTTGTCCTCCCAAACACTACAATATAAATACAGAACAATTTCAATCAAACAAAATATAGATGCCTGTACGCGCCCGTTGCTTTACATATATCAGGCAAAATAGAGTATCAGAGATGTCGGTTATGTTTGACAAAATTACAGAGGTTTGGCCAGCACGGGGGTCGAACCCGCGACCTTCGCGTTATCAGCACGACGCTCTAACCAACTGAGCTAACCGGCCTGCACCTGTTACCAGAAAGTCAGGAGGCTGTCCTAAAAACCATTTGATGTTTATCAGGCTTCAAACCAAGGGCATACATAAGTTCCGCGGTAACTCGAGTGTTTCCTGGTCTATTTTGAGTTCCAACAACACATCATACGAATAATAGTGAATCATCAAAAAAATGTTGCTTGTCTGTTTATTTCAGCTTTGTTGGGGACCGGGACTGCCATCACTGATTGCCTTATTTTCAAGCAAGTTCTTCCTACAATTAACTGTGAATGAATCGATTTTCTCATTTGTGGTCCTAAGTTGATTATGATTATTCTACATTCTACAACATCAACGAAGAGAACCTTTATGGGGTGATAATTACGCTAAATTACATCTGGTATATGTTATTCGGAAATAGCCTGGGTACCATCCGGATTTTCGCTACGCAACGCTCGAAAAAATCACGAGCGTTGCGTAGCGAAAATCCGGATGGTACCCAGGCTAATTCGGAAAATGAAAGCCCTGTTTAAAATCAATGTTGAATTCCGACACGGGACAGAAACAAAGATGAAAGCTAATTTGGCCAGGGAACCCGCGACCTTCAAACTTTAAGCACAAGTCCATGCGGGGGTTGGCGCTATGGTATTGGACCTTGGTTTTGTCAGCAGCACAGGTTCAATTTGCAGACAAACGAACTTGACCTTTACCCGTCTGAGCTAACTGGAGGGCAAAGTCTCGTCTGCTTGTGAGTCAAGTTCGTTTAAGGACACGACACATTGCGCTACCACCCACGAAATGCCTGGTCAGTCGCCATGATTCTAAGACTTAAGACGTTTGAACAAGGTAAAATCGAGACCCCCTTTTGTTAATTCGGTGCTTATGAAACCCGTTTCGTCGATCAATGTTATCCAGTAAAAATTTCTCCCGTAGAGCCAAATATAAAACTTTTCATGGGTCTTACATTTAAATTTTAAACAGTTTTTTTTATCATCGGATGAAAGCGCTTTTGATTCCCGTTAACGAATCTCTGTTTTTGATTTCAAGTGAAGTGAGGTCTCAGAATCAGATCAGTGAATTTGAAAACATGTTATTCGCTTGAGTGTGCTTTGGCGAAAAGGAACACCAAACAGACAGGTACTGAAAGGAAGTTCTCAAGTGCCCATGAAGCTGCAATATACACATAAACCGGCAGGTGGCAGAACATTTTAGATAGCAACCCTCAAACATTTCTCTGTATCTTATTCCATTGAAAATAGATTTTCTTACCACTACATAGTCTATATAGCATTGTGTTTGTCTTTAAGTTTTAATTGTCTAACCTCGAACTAATTTTACAGAGTGACTGACATAAATGTGACGTTAAGATTCGTCTGGCCGGTTAGCTCAGTTGGTTAGAGCGTCGTGCTAATAACGCGAATGTCGCGGGTTCGATCCCCGTACTGGCCAATTAGTGCTGTATAAAGTACATTTTTTCTTCCAGTTAATAGTACTTTTCTAAGTTTCGTCCATATTTTTTTTACAATTCGCTTCAGTATCAGACGTTGAAACCTTGTCATATTTTCTTGTAGTTTGGGCAGTTTCTAAAATTTCAGTAACAGGTGCGGTCCGTCGCTTAGCTCAAAGTTCGACCCTATCCTGGCGATTTTTTTTTCTTTTTGTGCAAAGCAGTCTTTAATAGAGGGGCAAAGATCAATGTCGAGCATTGGATAAGCTTGTAAGTTTATAGAAAACGTCAAAGGTTGTTCTTCAAATTTCAAATTCGTGAAAAATTCGGTACCCCGTGCTGGCCAGGAGTTTCCTTTTTATAACAATTATTAACCGAGGATCAAAGATCACTATTGAGCGTCTGCTATGAATGACGTTAAAATTCCATACCGAAATAAGAAAAGAAGACCTAGAATTATCTAAACCTATTAAATTTTGCGCTACCATATGAGATTGTAGTAATGTAGAGTCAACAAAGGAGCTTTTCGCGAAGCAGGGCAGTTAAAACTGGATTTTCAAAGTCAATTTTATGGTCATTTTGTTAAATGTGGTAAGTATAATCAACCCTATCCCATATCATACTGATATCTATGAGGCAAAAATGCGATATCTCTGGCGAAAAACGTTTCTAATGTATATATCGTAGCCTAAGCTATTTATTGGTGGCTCCAAAAAATACAGGGACTCCGCGTAGCTTGTTTGGGGGCTATTTCAAACGTTTCTACTCTACTCAGTATGAAATGATGTCGAAAAAGTGCTAAGAAATGGCAGGAAATGTCAATATCAGACAGATTTCGTCATGTAGAATATTTTTGTCTTGCCGCCTTGAAATGGTGCACAGTGGTAATCGCTTTACTTTAGCATTGGATCCCTGGCATTGGATAACACACAGCTACAGGCGCCCTGCGTGCGTGCGAGCACCTGTTTACATAAGGTATTGTTACACCCGGAAGTGCTACGTACGGCTGAGTTTTATAGCCGCCACAATACTAAATCACGAAGTACTGGTAAAAACACAATGTACATATCATATTCACACATTTTGACGTTTGTTGCCAGGCGGCGTTTCAAGTTTTCCGTCGCAAGATTTACAGCGCTTTTGTTACAGAGCCGCCTGACCGTTGACCCCCGCTTTTCGTCAGTGGTAACACGTGTCTGGCCGGTTAGCTCAGTTGGTTAGAGCGTCGTGCTAATAACGCGAATGTCGCGGGTTCGATCCCCGTACTGGCCAATATGTACTTGGAAAAGTACCTTTTTACTGCTCGAGAGTGGCACTTATTAAAGTCTTAGAGGTTTTTTTCCTGAAATTTCCTCGTTTATTTCTTTTTAAATATTTTTTTTACTGACATTATTCTATTATAGGTGCAGACGGGCTACCTCAGTTGGTTCTGGCTACAGCATCGTGGTGATAACGCAGAGGTCGCGGG